TGTTGAAGAGAAAAAAATGCACAGCCGACTTTATCTATCTAATTGGTTTTTCTCTTACTGAAAGTTGAGTTATTTCGATTTCGATATGTGTGATCAGATTTGAACTTTTGATTGATACTTCCGAACAGTAATATATTATGAAACTAGTTTATACTTATTCAAGAACACGATGAGTGCCTTAATTTAGAAAATGCTGTATCTCGCATTATGAATAGGTTTCATATGCTATTTTATCGCCGACTATAGATTGCCATTTAAACAAGTTATTTATGCAGTTTTGTTTAATCCTAAATGTTTTCTGAATATTTCACAAGTGTTTCTTGTAAAATGAATGATATAACGAATTTGTACGGTCATTTAGTTTTTCAGGAAAAATATATTTTTCTCGAGCACACATCCTCATAAGATTTAATTATTCAATAAATAGTACCACCCTCAAGAGCCGACATATTCAAAGACATAAGAATCATATTCGACAGAAAGTTTACCTTCAATGAACACATTAACAAATTTGATATGGACTCAGTATGCTTACTTGGTTCTGCACTTGGTTTCTGGTCCCGTTTCTTTAGTAAGAAAGAAAGAAAGAAAGAAATGCTTTATTGACTACGATATGCACAATATACATGAGTAGTACGTCAATTTACAAAGAGTGTTGAAACATCCCGTGATTTATATAAACACATACTTATTCGCAGTAGACAAAGACAAAAAATATACAATTATGTAAAGAAATAAAATATATGAAATAGGCCTATAATTGTCGGGTAGGTCTTTATCGCCTTTTTTAAATATCGGTATTACCTTAGATATTTTGAAGATATCAGGGAAGACTCCCTGATATCAAGACCAAATAGTCTCGAAATACTGTGTCGTACTTTTCTCGGAAGCAAACTTGAATATGCATTGCTAATTTGGTAATCACTTTACCAAAATGAAATTGACAGTATCGATTATTGCAACCCGTTGAACATTATGAACACGTGCTTCTTTTGAACTCTTTCAAATTTGAATTGATGCTTGACAGATGTATAGTTGAAGTAAACGGTATTGTGCACGCTTGAAGTTGGCGGCACTCTCAAAGGCCAAAAAACCAATACATAGAAATGAACTGGCAGCGAACTAGTCCACGTGGACTCTAGACTTGGCGGTTTGTATTGGATAATGTTTACCAACCGAGTTTTATGATTGGCTGAAGAGTCATACAATTAAATATGAAGTCGTGTTACGGTGACGAATAGAAATCGGAAATGGGGGGATTGTTATCGCCATCTTGTTCAATTCAGGAACTGATCGCGATTTGAGTGTTGAAATTCGATATTGGTGCAGTTATAATTTCTTAAAATTTATGTTGTCTGCTCAAAATGTTGCGTCCTTGGACAAGTACTAATAGTAATAACGATTGTGATAACAACGCAAACTTTTTCCTGTGTAGTGATTCCAATAGCGATGGTGAACAATGCGAAAAAGAGATAGCAGTGAATGAGACTCGATGCATTTGAATATTGAAACATCATCTCAAGTATGGTTTCGAGGGAAACATTTGATGCATTTGAATATTGAAACATCATCTCAAGTATGATACAGGATTACCAAAGCCTTTAGATGTTCATCTAATAAAATCATTGAAAAACACAATATACGACTGTTACAAAAGCAATGAGATTCCTACAACTGAAGTCATAAGGAATAAATTGAAGAATTCCAGCCATAACGTGAGCTGCTGTTACAAAACTCTTCAGAATTGGATAAAGAAGAAGACTGGCAGAAAAGGATTAAAAAAGTAATTTTAGTTGAAAAAGACTATATGGAGATTGGACACTTCCATATTAATGGTGGAAATACTGAAGTTCATTATTAATTTAAATGATGACAATGATACTGAAACAGAGAATATGGAAGAGGAATTATCTGAAACTTTCGAAGAAAAGAAAGTTAGTTGTTTTTGAAGCAATATATTGTAAATAAATGTGAGTAAGTAGTATTCAGAAGTATTTTCAATTATCATCCTGTTATTTGAATCCCTACTTTCCCACTCACCTATATAAACTGATCTGTTCAATCCTATGGAGGGATGAAGGTATTGTGAATGTTTTGTACTGTTTGATTTGAAAGGGACATATTTTAGGGACATATTGATTTTTGGGAACAGTTCTGAGAACGCTCTGTAAAGAGTTCATTTAGAAATTAATTGTTATCTTCCTTCCCATGGAAATCTTCCACATTTTTATACAAACATGGAGAGGTAGAAAACCGAACCCTTTTTTGTACTATATTAAAAAAAAATGTTATTCGATATAATTATTACACTACACTGTATGACTGAAAAGTAAGATTTTATATTTTAGAATACTGTATGTCAAATAATCTGTTGAAATCTGAAGAAATGGACAGCTTGTTCTTCTAGTCGTGCTAGAAAGTTAGGCAACCAATACTACACCCAATATCCTCTGCATGATTTCTGTTACTCCTGTTTATCGTTAGGAAGAGAAATTTCTGTTCACATGCATAACATATTTTCCCATAAATAGTCACAAAGTCATCAAAATATTACAGAATAATGTAAATGTTTTTACTACTCACTTTTTATTGATTCAATAAAGTCTTTCTTGACTTGGACTATGATAATTTTGTGTGGTAGTTGTACTTAGAAATACATTCGTGGAATTTAGTATATGCTCTTGTATGTTGTTAGTTTCCTTTTGATAATTGTTACTGATTACATGCAGGATTGTCTAGGACATTCTACATTTTCAATTCGGAATTAATTTTTGCTGTAAATATAGGTGAACTACATTCTTGCACTCACTATATAGCCAAAGGACACATTTATTGATCATTGTTTATAATCATTAGATCGATCCTGTCCTAATATGGGAAATAAGAGCAAAGCTATTACGAAGACATTCCAGAAGCTATGAGTGCTATATTCTGCTCTCATTATAATGTATATATTTATCAAATTGATACATTTTCTCTGAACTTCTTCCAAGTGATACCTGAATATGATCTTTGTTACTAGACTTATCATGACAATTGTTAATGAAATCTATTTTTTCTCAGTAATTATTTATTATATAACAATAAAATAATTGCCCTCTAATTGATTATATTATTTTAGATACCATTTTATGATTTTTGAGGTTTGATGATGCATTGCTTGTTTATAATGATTCTTTGTGACCTTTTTTTAATTGATGTTTACATTCATCATGAAATCCAAATTTATAATATATTTCATTCATTTTGACATCACAATGATCTTTCATATCATTATAAGTGAAAAATATACCTATAGAATTTTTTGTTATGTTTTATTCATCAAATATATATACTTTTGAAAATACTACTAGTCATCACATTGTTTGTATGAAGATGGAGATCTAGACAATCAGAAAGTGTTTATCCTAAAAGCTAATATCTCCTAAAACATAATATATTCCCCTTTTAGTTACAATTATCTATAGCACTAGCTTCATATTTAAAATTATGGAATCTGTTTACTTTTCCTCAGCTATTCAAAAGTAGTTTTCAGATTATTATACATTAAGGCAGCATTCCTTTGCTAAATATTGAAATTTATTTTTGCATATTTTCAATTATTTGCACCCAATTAAAATTCTGAATGTATCTGATATTTTTATAATCCAAACATGAAAACTATTCTAATAATGTTTAAATAAAATGAAGTGTTTGAGCTTTGATTCAGAAGACGTTTCTAAAATATCTTTTGTGAAACATGTTTTTCATGGCGTATCATATTTTTTAGTCGTAATGAATGTATGCCGAAAGCACAATTTTTATTCAATTCAAATCATCCCTCTTTCATCCCATCCGAATACAAAAAAATAATAATAAAAATAGCCCTATTGGTGTGTTCTGTTCGGAGTCTATTCAGGAAGCTACCATCAATGGTTATTAATATGGGGTAGGTTTCGATGTGTGTTGCACGAACTTGGTTACGTAAGAACATTGTGTGTCTAGAAAGATTTATACAGATTTCATTAGTTTGAAGTACTTCTCTGTTATTATTTCCCTCTATTTCATGTGCATGATTGCTCTCAAATAGATGAATCCCTTTTTCAACATGTTTTAATATTTACCTATATCTCTTTTGTAATATCATCATCCATATTAAAAATTTCTGCTTGAACGAATCTCCTAACTTCTAATGGTGGTAAGCGATATTTGATATGGATAATTTTTACCTGGGTTTCATATATTTGTTTTCATTGTCTGTGAAGTTTTAGAATATGATTTCATAATTCAATAAGGCATTTAAAAATAATAATTCAAAGCAGTATGGATTGCTTTTCTTTTGTGTGAAGCTTGTTGGATATCGATCGATCTCTCTGCTACCACACCCTTATGCGCTGTATCGACAATGGATCTAGCCTTATGTTGAAGTGCTCAACCCCTTATGAATATTCAACCAATAACTTTTTTTTTTGTTGAAATTAATATTAAAATGTATTATGAATATTTGCTGAACTTTGATTCATTATTGTTCTTAAAGCCATGTCTAGAAAAGCATTTACTTTACTATTTACATATTCAGTTCTTTGTGAAATTATTTAATGTTATTGTATATAATGAAAACTGCATTTTGGAGATGGATATTAATATTCAAATTAAATCTAACTATATATGTTATTTTCTGTTGTCTAGTTCCCATTTACTTCACAGTAAAAAGGTATTAAAGAAATAATGTATAAATTGTGTTGGTTGTATTTTCATTCTTCATATATGAAATTATGAGTACTTGATGAAAATGAATAACACTATCCATGATGATAACATAGAATTTTCACAATAAATTTCATTTAGGATGCTTTTCAGTACACGGTAGCTTCATCTATTACATGTTTTAGCAGATTTAATCATTTATAAACGGAGATAGAATTCGTTTTTTACAACATTTGATTTATCAATTACTTGAAAAACGTTCGTTAACAAATAATCAAATAGAAAAGTTATTCTCATTGAAATTTTGCTTTCAGGGCTCATCATGAGGTATCCGACCTTTAGAAATGCCAAAGCGTGGATTTTAGTGAGCGAGAAGAAAGGGCTTGATAGAGGGCCCTCGTCATCATGAGCGAAAGAGACAGAAACAGGGCAATCGGTAAGCAGCAACAACAGCGCTTCAATGAGGAAAGCTTTGACTACAAGTCTCCAAGACCTCCGGTTCTTGGGGAGGAGAGGAGCCATTTTTCGTCAGACTGGGGACCGCCACCTTCTCAAATGGACTGGAACAATTACAAGTCTTCCCCGCCTCCACCTCGAAAGTATAGCAGCTATCAGAATGGTAGGTATATGTTATAGGAATTTGTGTGATTTGGAATGTTTAGTTTGAAAAAAAAAAGTTTATATGAGTGAAAGTCTGCCCATGAATGTTATTGTTCCATATCTCTCTCTCCATTTCATTTAGTTGATAGAGAAATAAAAACAGTATCAGTCATCATTCCTGGAATTGAAGATAGGTGAAGGTCTGAAGTTTGACAACCACTTAACGCAAATAACTATCTTGTGATACTACTTCATGAGAAACGGTGTAAGAGATATAGGATATGAATTGAAAAGGATATATTTTTCGGAAAAAAGTTTTTGCTATTCATATTAATACCAAAAAATGTGGGAATCTTCCAAAGAAAGTAAGAAGGCAATTCATTTCAAAAATGAACTCTTTACAAAGATGTGTAGATCAGTAACTGAAAGTTAATGTTTGCACACCTTTGTAATAGAGGTGTCTATTAGAGGCTAACCCAAAATACTTTTTGAAAGTGTTTTTTTCATTGTGATCAAAAAATTTTTTGCTGTGACACAAGAGACACAACAGGTGTCCCAAACCACAAAATACGTTACCAATAGGGATCATCTAAACTTGAAAATTACCTTTGTTGTACCTACAATTCAATTTCAAATTCTATATTTTCATCAAATTTCAATTATTAATCTATAAATAATCATCGAAATCAAATACAGTTCGAATTTTCAATGACCCTGTTCAATCAATGCATTATTCTTGATTAGGATATAAAAAGGACATTCACTTAGATTGAAAGTATCAAAAAATGAATTGACTCATAATAAGGGTCTTTCGATCAGAAGCATTTTCAATTAATTTTTGTCTCTTTCAAATCAATTGAGTGGGTGAATAAGTGAGAAGATAGTTTAGCCAAAAAATGAAGGTGGCATAATTAGATTAGATTATTTTAATGGGTGACATTTTCACTGAAAGATTTACAAATTCATAACATGTTTTTCGCTGCTTCTTCAGGCTTATGCAATAATAAGGTAACAGAAATTGAAGAATTCTGAAATGCATATAATTCTGGAATGAAAATATCGATTTTATAATGAATACTTTCAATGTTTCTCAATAGCACAAAAGTATCATCAAACAGTAATGATATATAGCACTGAATGACTTACTACACGAATGAAAAACATCAGAGATGGTCTTAATTGCAAGTTCAATATTAAGAAACAAGGCTACACACTGGTCACCAATTTCATCAATTTAATATATCGAGTACCATGAAATGTCCGTTTCATAAAAGTTCAAATGATTATAATAAACTTCCGATCTCTGTAAAACTAATCAGTACCCTTTAAGAACAAGAATTGAAGACCAAACTTATTGAGCACATGATCTGAATACTTCATAGCTTAAACTGTATTCATATCTTTCAGAAAATATCGAGTTTTTTTCTCCTGGTTACCAATGAATTGTTATTCCTTATTCTAACTGAAACCACAGATTTGCAGCGGTCTTCCGTTGAAGACTCCATGCTTTTTGGCTTTTTTTGCAACGAAGGCTTACCATTCTTACAGTGGCTGCACTATGATGATGACATTCAACTATTTTTTACGAGTGCTATATCTGATAAAACTCTCTCTTGGATTTCCTGCGTAATCAACTTTTATTCATTCATTAATTGTACTTTCACTTTTCATAAACCTTGAGTCCTTGAGTCTTTGGCAAGGTCCACGTCGGAAAGGTTAGACTGTAATATCCTCTAAACCCCGATTGACGTTGTCACAGTTGGTGCCTGAGGGAGCAGATGTCTGTCAACCTCAGCAAAACTGTGATAATACCCTTCACCAGGAGGGGAAAATTAGACGATCTAACGCCACTTTCCCTCAATGGTAAGGTCATTCCATTAGGAACAGAGATTGGCATTATACTTGATAAAAAACTCACCTGGGAAGCTCACTTGAAAAAAGTTTTTCACAAAGGCAGACTGTCGCTATGGACATGTCGAAGGATTTGTGTTAAAACTTGGGGTTTAGGTCCCAAACATATCCATTGGATTTATGTGATGATTGTCAGACCAATGATGCAATTGCCTGGTGGCCGAAGGCTTTATAGAAAACGGCCCAGGCGAAGCTCTTTAACTTACAGAGACAACCATGTCTGGTCATCAGTGGTGCCATCAGTACCACAACGTCAGCGGCCATGTTGATCCTTCTAGATCTACCTCCTCTCCACATTTTTCTGGAGAGAGCCTAGATGGACTGCATATAGACTTGAGCACATTGCCAATGGCACAAATCAATTTTATGCAAATGCAACAGACTGTTGGTTGACACTGGAAGTCACAGCATTCTGGAAATGACCTCTGACTTCATGCCTCCAACTGTCAACTACAAACTGCCTTATAAAGTACTGATCCCGAGTAGAGAGGATTGGATCCTCCAGGAGAAGGAAATAATAAGAGCAGATAGTTGTTGGTTCACAGATGGATCAAAAACACCATCCGGTTCTGGTGCAGGCGTTTTCAGTCGCAGCCCAGGACAGAGATATCAACCTGCCTATTGTCTAAATTGGTAGGAAATTGACAAAAACGACTCTCCTCGATAGGAATGCGTAACAAATTGTCTCTGGTCTGGATTCCTGGCCATACTGGTCTGGAAAGCAATGAGACTGCTGACTCCCTTGCAAAGGAGGGTGCTGCAAGCACCTTCATCGGACCAGAATCTGTCATTGGCATCGCTTTAGGCTTTGCCAAACAAAGATTGAACGCCTGGATGACAAGAAGATTTATGGACTTCTGGCAGAATCTTCCAGGATTGGCTCACCCTTCGAAGCTTGATACCAAACAGTTATTGTAGGAATGAACTACGATATCTAACAGGCCTTCTTACAGGTCGCTGTCATTTGAATCATCATATGCAGAGACTCGTCCTGTCAGAAGACAGTGTGTGTCGCCTCTGTTTGAAAAATGATGAAACAGCAGAGCATATACTTTGTGCCTGCCCCGCTGGGGACCGAATCAGGTTTTTAGAGCTTGGCAGAACCGTACTCTTACCATCTGACCTGAAAGACCACTCACCATACAAACCAATCGGCTTCGTTAAGAAGCTGGGTTTATTTGGTTGAGTGTGAATATGTGTGTGCCACACATATGTGTGGGTCGAATAGAACTACTCATTTTGGGACTAACCTAATCTATTTTCTTATTACTGCACAATATTCTGTAAAAGAAATATAGCACAAAAGTATCATCAAACAGTAATGATATATAGCACTGAATGACTTACCACGTGAATCAAAAACAACAGAGATGGTCTTGATTGCAAGTTCAATATTAAGAAACAAGGCTACACACTGGTCACTAATTCCATCAATTTAGTATATCGAGGACCATGAAATGTCCGTTTCATAAAAGTTCAAATGTATATGATATACTCCCAATCCCTGTTAAACCAATCAATACCCTTCAAGAACAAAAATTGAAGACCAAACTTTTTGAGCACATAATCTGAATCCTTCATAGCTTAAACTGTATTAATATCTTTCAGAAAATATCGAGTTTTTTCTCCTGGTTACCAACGAATTGTTATTCTCATATTCTAACTGAGACCACAGATTTGCAGCAGTCTTCCGTTGAAGGCTCCATGCTTTTTGGCTTCTTTTTACAACCAAGGCTTGCCATCTCTACAGTGGCTGTACTATAATTATGACATCCAACTATTGTGGAGGACGTTTCTATGATATCATTTTTTCTGAGTGCTATATTTGATAAAACTCACTCTTGGATATATTATTTCTTGCTTAATCAACTTTTATTCATTCATTAATTGTATTTTCACTTTTTATAAACCTTGAGTAATATTATCTTAGGCAAGGTCCACGTCGGGAAGGTTAGCTTGTAATATCCTCCAAACCGACATGGACGTTGTTCACAGTTGGTGCCTGAGGGAGCAGATGTTTGTCAACCCCAGCAAAGCTGTGATGATACCCTTCATCAGGAAGAGAAAATTGGACGGTCCACTTTTCCTCAATGATGAGGTCATTCCATTTGAAACGGAGGTGAAATATCTTGGCATCCTTGATAAAAAAACTCACCTGGAACGCTCACTTGGAAAAAGTTTTACACAAAGCCAGACTATCTCTATGGACATGTCGAAGGCTTTACGGTAAAACTGGGGTAGTACTGTTCCCGAGTAGAAAGGACTGGATCCTCCAAGAGAAGGAAATATTAGGAGCAGATAGTTGTTGGTTCACAGATGGATCAAAAACACCTTTCGGTTTTGGTGCAGGTGTTTTCAGTCGCATACCCAGGACAGAGATATCAACCTGCCTAGGAACATATGCGACTGTATTTCGTGCGGAAATTACGCTATTCCAACCTCATACACAAGTCAATAAAAATATTCTCGAAGAGTCAAGCGACGTAGGAAGCTCTTGACTCCTACCGTCTAAATTGGTAGCAAATTGACAAAAACGACTCTCCTCGCTGGGAATACGTAACAGATTGTCTCTTGTCTGGATTCCTGGCCATACTGGCCTGGAAAGCAATGAGGCTGCTGCTCCCTTGCAAAGGAGGGTGCTGCAAGCAGCTTCATCGGACCAGAACCTGTCATTGGCATCGATTTAGGCTTTGCCAAAGAAAGATTGAACACCTGGATGGCTAGAAGATTTATGGACTTCTGGCAGAATCTTCCAGGATTGGTTCATTCCAAGGCGTTTATTCACCCTTCAAAGTTTGATACCAAACAGTTGTTGGATGGACTACAACAGGGATAAACTACGATGTCTAACAGGCCTTCTTACAGTTCGCTTGAATCATCATATGCAGAGACTCGGTTTGTCGCAAGACAGTGTGTGTCGCCGCCTCTGTTTTGAAAATGATGAAACAGCAGAGCACATACTTTGTACCTTCTCCGCTGGGAACCGAATCAGATTTTTAGAGTTCGGCAGAGCCGTACTCTTACCATCTGACCTGAAAGACCACTTACCATACAAACTAATCGGCTTCGTTAAGAAGCTGGGTTTATTTGGTCCAGTGTGAACAGATGTGAGCCACAACAAACCCTTGCAGGTTATGGTGTGGGGTCGAATAAACCCGCTCACTTTGGACCTAACGTAATCTAATATTTTCTTATTACTGCACAATATTTTGTAAAAGAAATTTCATACTTGTCAACGAAAGAAATTAAAATAATACTATTCATGTTCCCGAATATTTTTTTCAGAATCCCCACCAGCCCCCTTTGGATACGAACCCGAAGGCAGTTGCCAGTCGAATTCCCATTCCTCTTCCAGACACGAACGAGTTTCCTGCGACGATTCCCCACCCCCAGCCTGCGTCAAATGGGCGCAGTCTCTCCATTCTCTTCTCCAAGACCCCGATGGAGTCAAACTCTTCCAACAGTATTTGGAATCTGAGGGTCAGCATCACGCCGACACTCTCGACTTTTGGTTCGCTTGTGAGGGACTCCGCAAGCAGACTGCGAGAGAGAAAATACATCAGTTGGTTAAAGTTATATATAAGTAAGAGTTTGAGGTTAGCATTTTTCAGGTTTACTGTAAGCAACTTTTTTTAAGGAAATTTTTCGTTAAGTCTGCCCTTCCTATCGGCGAGGAGTTGAGGAAGGAAATCGGTAAACAAATTAAGTCGTCTCAGTGCCTTGAGCCCCCCGTAACACTGTTCGATAAAGCGCAGTCCATTGTCGAACATTTAATTTACGAAACCACATACCAAAATTTCCTCAAATCCGATCTGTACCTGCAAAATTTACAAGTGAGTATTTTTTTCACAATCAAATCAGAATTGTAACATTCATTTCGTGGTGATGGCAACTTGATTGGCGAAACGACCATTGAGCAGTTTATTACAATTCTATTGTATGTAAAAAAGTGATTCTGTGAGACAAAAATATTTAGAGCAAATTAAAAAATCTATCAGTTCATGTGAAAATCTTGAATTGTTTTAAAAAATGAGCATTTTGGAAAATACTGTGATTTTTATGAAGGTCAGCGATGTTTGTCTCAATATGATTCTTGACATTAAAATACTTTTTTTGATAAAACAGAATCGAATATGGCTATTATGTTTACCAGTTACCATTAGTTTAAACTTCATGAAAAAATTACTTTTCCATTACATCAAATTATTTTGCAGAAGTACACAAGATATGCAAATAAGTCACATAAGGTGAACCTTAAAGATTTAATGTATCATTTTTCCATCATGAAGACTCCTAAAACTATAAAAATATCCATTAGATTTGATTGATTGGTTTCGTTCGCTCTTATCATCTTTTGTTAGGTATTAATCTTTTTGAAAAAGATTATAAATAGTATCTTATGTTTTCCAGGAAAGTCTTGATATGAATATGATTGATTACTTTTTTATATTGAGTGTTCCATTAGTTTCGTAACAATAATTATTCATTTTCAGAATGTTCAAAGTAGTAGCAGTAGTAGTAGCGAATTTAGTAATGTATTATCAAACTTAAATGTACCGGATCCCTTGCCAACACTTCACGAAGATATGGAATTAATTATGAACCCACCGGTTCATCTGAGTCATACTTCAGGTTAGTTTTATGAAATACCTTATGAAATCCCGATAATAAACAGTGTCCGACCGAAACTGATTTTTTCGACTGAAACCGAATTTCTCAGCGGTTTCAGTTTCGGCCTCCTTACAAGGATTATGTTTTGTGGGAAAAATAAAGAAAACGTTATTATAATCAGTAAGTCTTTATTTTTTCATCTTTAACTCACAACGTTCGAAGTTTTTCAGTCGGACACTAAAATAGATTGGAGAGTTTTTCAAAGTGGTGTGTTAATTTTGTCGGCTAGGGAAATAACGGCATTTTATAAATAATTTTTTGATACTTAGGCACATAGTGCATAAGTGTCTTAGGCACATAGTGCCTAAGAATCAGCACATAGTGCCTAAGTATCAGCACATAGTGCCTAAGTATCAGTAAGAATTCACTGTTCTTTAGAAGATGAAGTTTTTTTCTCTCTATAATAAAAAAATGGTTTCCAGGAAATGGTAGTGTGAGTACTGGCTACCACACTCCTAATGTTGGTGCGACAGGACCCGTCCGCCTTACTAGGGACTCCTTACTCATTTCCCAGAAACGTAGGGCTGCCGAAGTGAGGCCTAAATCTGAAGCAGTCGCCAGGTAAGAGCAAAACCATATTAGTTTGTCGCTTCTAAGGCTTCACACTTTGGCGATGAAGTAGTACTTTTTTTGACCGCATAATTTTTACATACTTATTTTTGTTTGGTTTGCGTGTGGTTATGTAGTATGTTCATGTACCGTTCTGCTGCCGCTGGAGCTCATGCTGCGTATAACTCGTACAACCCGAATTCGAGGCAGGATAGCGAGTTACATTCGTTGAGTAGTCATTCGGATGCTAGAACAGAATCAGACAACATGTCCATGACGAGCAGCTCTGTGTAAGTAAAATGGAACATAGTTAATTTTTCGACCCGAAATTGTTAACTAAAATCTGTAATGAGCAAGTAGTTATTTGTGTACTCAGAAATGTTCTGTTGAATACCATGAAGTTTTTTTACTCGGGTTTTTGATAGAATCTGAGTACCAAATATTTTTCCGAACATTGTAGATCTTCAGTTGATTGAAAATTACTTTCTCGTCTTTGGACTTTCTATTAAAATATTAGTGATAAGGAAAAACCAACATTTATTGAGGAGAACCCTTCAGTTAAACGTGTATGTCATCTATGATAGTTTCTTACAGTTGTGAAAAGAAAAACAGGACCTATCAGAAACGATTAATTCAATCTTGTGTACTCCTTTATATGGATATCACTTTTCTTTTCTCGATTTCATGAAACAATATAGAATTAGAGTATTAATTTTAATTCATGTCGTGACCATGTCAATTCAACATCTTTGATTTTGTATGGATTACAAGATAATCTGGCAGGCAGTAGGCACTTTCTCATTCATTTTAGTCCATAGATTAAACATACCAGATACTAATTTCCATTTTCACAGATCTGGGATTCCACTGAACAGTCTGCAGTAATATTTAATTTATTATATCAAGTAATTTTTCAAATTTGTCAGGTTGAATTCAATATTTATTGTTTATTTTAATTTATTGCAAGGTTCACAATTCAATGTATTCTTCTTCTTAAGATTCATATACTTCCTTTATTTCATAGTCTAAATCACAGTATAACTTGAAGTTAATATTCTATGAAAAGTGATGCCTAGACAAAGATGGGCATTTTTTTCCTTATGATACAAATAGTATCGATGAGCGCAATTGTTGGAGGAACCGAAGCAACAGGTGGTAACATTGTTCGAACTTTGAGACCGAACTGATTGTATTTGGCAGTGTTGAAGGATTCAAATTGGAAATAGTTTTTTTGTGCCTGGAATCACATAAGAACATCTCCATTGATGATTTTGTTTGCAAATTATCAAATAATTATTCTATATATTGGTAAGATATATATAAATATGAGTTTGAAATTAGATTATTTCATTCAACGAGTCGTTCATAACACATGTTTTTATGACAGTATTCGCTTTTGTTTTTTTTTGTGCTTTATTAATTTTGTAATTATAGAATTTGAAGAAACCAGTGATTTCACAAATCTCTATCAAGAAAAATTTAAATTTCACTTTGATACCATAGTAAACCTCCCAAGTTAACTATCTTCCTTGTTTTACTTGTGTGTTTTGAGTGCATTTCGATTCAGTCCAAATAAGATCATTTTTACCAAGTAACCCTTTTCAATACTTACAATTGAACTTTCATAAAAAGCATTAGATTGATAGTTATCAGACTGAGCTCATGCCTTTGCAATAAGAGCTATATTCCGTCCATCTTAGCAACAGGGTGCTCCGAAACATTATCATGCTTAGTGAATGTGATCTCCCAAACAAGGCTGCTTGTACAGAGTCGCACTAAGGATAGACCGAAATATAGCCAGCCGATTGCAGTTAAATCTGATTGGTCATTGTAAGAAGGCTTGCAAATGTACGTGGTTAGCATGCTTTGACCACGCATCTATCTTTGTTTGGGTTACTTTATTTATTGTATAGATATAGTCTAGTCACTTCCACCTGGGCAAATTCTATTCATTCAACGAAAATAAAGTGAAGAAGAAATTGGCATCCAACATGGGGTTATATTGTGATTTAGAATATGAAATATAGGCAGTCTGAATCTTAGACGAAAAAACATTGAATTATATTCTCAACCATGAAATAAATTGAAGTAAACAATGAATATTGAATTCAAATTGATGTTGGAATGTGGAAAAATCAGAGAAATTACATTATTTATTGAATGAAATATTGCTGCAGACTGCTCAGTGGAATCCCAAATCTGTGAAAATAAAACAATAAGTATCTGGTGTGTTACAATCTGTGGACTAAATTTATTGAAACGGTGCTACTGCCTGTTCAGATTATTTTGTAAGCCATATAAAATCAAAGATGATAAAATGACATATTACAACATGAAGGCCTAAAAAATTTATCTAGAAATCAGTTACACTAAAAAAAATACCATGAATAATTTCAAAATCATGAACTATTTAGAACAATTGTTGTAAGTGTAATATGTTTGCACTCAAAACTATCTTCATTTTCTAAAAATATCTTTTTGTATTTCAATGGAGGAGTTCACAGCATAAAAAAGTTTTTTTCAATCTCTACCAAAAATACTTTTTTCATAAATTAAGTAACTTCTACAGTCTAACATCGTATTACTACCACAACTGTTAAAGGTATGGTTGCATGAAAATTAACAAAATGTGATGATAAGGCATGTTTTATTTTTATTTGGAATTTTTGCATGATGGTCTTGTAGTCTTTAGCATGGACATGTTCATTTTTAGGGTATATGCATGAGGATTTTATTATTCTTATTATCGTTTTTTTTTATAACTTCCAACAAATGAACCAAATTTCATTTTGATACTTTGTCAGTGGGAATAGCACCTTAGATTATAAGGAATATTTTTATTGTATTCATCATGTTTTGTATTAACCAGTTGAAGTTGCCATATTGTTTTTCATCATTTGGAATGGGGTTCAAAGTGGCAGATATTTGCAGAGAAGTGAACAAGTGCAATGCTGTAAAGTGCAAAGTCCTAATGCACATCATGTCAGATTTCTGTGTAATCCAAAATATTGTTAAAAAGATAATTTTAACAAGTTGTCTGTTAACTTTATTCTTCCAGATCTTCCAAAAAGACCCTTACCGAGCTGACGGACAGCGGAGTGTCTGTCGTGTCGGATACAATATCGGCAACTGCACCCATCAAAGACACTCGCGTGATCGCTTGGTTAATGGAGTCCGATAAAAGCGGCCGAGGTTCAAGTCATACTCACAGTGAAATGTCCTTGAAGCACCGAAGCCACAGAACTAGTAGCGTAACTTCTCCCAACGCCAGCAGGAGACGGAAAGGTTTCGGATCGAGATCCAGTTCTTTGGAGAGGGGCAGCAGCAGTGGAGCATTGGGTCCAGCGCAACCATTCATCGCAGACCCTAGCATGCCTAATAGTTCTATGTAAAATCCTTTTGAATATTTGAACCATCGATCCAAACATACAAACACATTTCAGCCATTGGTCTATCAATGTAAATAAAATTATTTTTGTTTAAATCAGTGATGGCAGATCACTGGGTAGAACATCTCGTCGTAAAGCGGTTATGGAAGCAAGGAAAACCCGCGAGTATGCAGCTCTTAATCAGGAAACCAACATGAACCAAATTCTAATTCCAAGAACACAACGCGTCGATACTAAACAGTGTCAGCCAATGGACAGGGACACGTTTGCATCCATCCTAATTGAAAAGTTGGAAGCGGTCAAGTTGTCTCAGGAGAAACAAGAATTGTTGGAGAGAAAATTGAAAGAGGTAAGACTGAATTGTTTGGGATTAAAATGTGTTCCTAGTCAGCTAAATATATTCGTTGAAGACTTTATTGCAGAGGACCCTGCAGAGAAATACCTACAAACACAATTTCCTTTTCCCTTTTCAAAATTATATAAACTGTTGAGTTGATAATGGTAAAATCAAACTTGAATATCAGGACAACCTGGTATTATATTAAATATTCTATTTTCAGAGCGATTCGATGGGCTCTATGAGCGACATACAGTCTCGAGAGCTGGCAAATGCTATCAGGGAGAAGTTGCAGCTAGAAGACGATAATGACCAGGACATTCTCGATCAGCATGTATCCAGGGTGTTTTCTGATTTGACGCCGGCAATGTCTCCGGGACTTTCCAGCCGTAGATCACATTCGCCCCCTAGGAATAGGTTAGTTTAATTTTTTTCGTTTAGTCAAAATGAGGTAGACAAATTTTCATTGCTTTTATTTCCATTTATAGACATGTTCAGGGTGCATATATGCGACCAAGGCGGAAAGACAAAGATGGCTTCTCGACTTTCAGTGGTGATTCTGGTAACGTTCACGACTATGCTGACGGATCGGAACATAAATTGTCGATGGTGAAGTCGAAGAGTATGTCGGAATACCCAGATGAGAGATTTGTCAGAGGATCTTCTGGCAGAAGGTAGGATTCAATTAATTTACTCTTAGCAATTTTCTGTCACCCAAACTTGAATACATGAAACCGATGTAAACATTCAATGTACTGTTTACTTATGTACCCTGAGAAAATACAAATTTCGATTTTTGATATTTTCATATTCACATTATTTGTGTGTATGATTATTCCAAGGTTACAATTACCTCCTGTAAATGTCTCTTATTTGAGATATGCTCTCATGAAAGAACAAAATTATCTTTGCCTCACATTTGTTGGAATTTTCAGACTTTGTCATACCAAATAGAAGTCATCAGAAGGTGACTTCCTTGTGCTGTGCAAATTATATAGTCAAGAGAGTAGTTATTTTATCTAGACACAGTATTTATTTTATTTTGAATCAGTTGATATAATATAAAAATTGCTCGAGTGAATATTTGTTTATATTAAGTTTTTATATATTGAAATCATTATTTTATATATGTTTTGTATAATAGGATGTTTCCTATTTAAACAAAAAACTACTACTACTAAATTACTGCTACCTTTGGCCTCTAACGGAAACGATAAAGGGATACCGAAGAGATTCCAGTTCATTGAAGTGTAAGATTCCCATCCTAATGACCACACGAGGGCATTTGTAAGTCAGCTTTAGGTATTGATACATTATACTCAACCATGCAGGTCTTTTTTGTCTCTGGTTTGAGTGAATAATCATTTGCTGACTTGCTCAAAGGAAGTTGGTTTCCTCTCTGGAAGAAGATTTTCCTTCTACTGCTCAATAATTTGGTGTAGAGCAGATTCTTAAGATATCCTACTCTTAAAAAGGCGATAAGTTGCTTCCTAGCTACATCACCTAGTCTCCTAGGTTGTTAACGAAACCTATGAGAGCAAGAACTGAGAAGTTCTTGCTCTCATAGGTTTCTCTAGTGACACTGAGTGGGATCGGAGTCATACGTCCTCTCGCCACAGATACACACACCTCAAGAGGAGGCTGTTATTTAAGAGAACTCTCACGTCCATGAATAACACCTTACCTGGCAGAAGTATTCTATTGCCCCCTGTTGCAGGACTGAGAGACAGAGAATACTCAATGAGGGAGTGGGTATTCCTGAAAATTTATTGGTTTTTGCCTCTGTATAGTTCAGTAGTCCCCAAACTTCGAGTAAGATGTAGGATGTTGCCATATTGTTTTTCATCATTTGGAATGGGGTTCAAAGTGGCAGATATTTGCAGAGAAGTGAACAAGTGCAATGCTGTAAAGTGCAAAGTCCATTGCACATCATGTCAGATTTCTGTGTAATCCAAAATATTGTTAAAAAGATAATTTTAACAAGTTGTCTGTTAACTTTATTCTTCCAGATCTTCCAAAAAGACCCTTACCGAGCTGACGGACAGCGGAGTGTCTGTCGTGTCGGATACAATATCGGCAACTGCACCCATCAAAGACACTCGCGTGATCGCTTGGTTAATGGAGTCCGATAAAAGCGGCCGAGGTTCAAGTCATACTCACAGTGAAATGTCCTTGAAGCACCGAAGCCACAGAACTAGTAGCGTAACTTCTCCCAACGCCAGCAGGAGACGGAAAGGTTTCGGATCGAGATCCAGTTCTTTGGAGAGGGGCAGCAGCAGTGGAGCATTGGGTCCAGCGCAACCATTCATCGCAGACCCTAGCATGCCGCCGTTACCCTCTCCAAACACTGCTATTCAACTGGAGGAAGCTAGAAGGAGATTGATGGAGGATGATGTTAGAACCAGGCCTAAACAAAGGTAAGTCTTACTTATTTAAGCTATATTGTCTTACTGACAAAGATTTGAGAAATAAGTATAAATAGCTTACATAAAAAGTTGAAGCAAAAAGTTGAACATCTGGAACTGATGATGAGTCAGAATATGTTGAAATTTACCAAATTGTGCTTGTTCACACATTTGCTCAAAGGAGTGACTGTGATAAGCCATCAAAGCTAAGACTAATATCATTACTACGAACCCTTGAAACCAAAGCCCGAAAACGAAAGATTTGTCCTCAGTCTTTCACTGCAGATTTCACTGCAAGGAAACTAGTTGAAACCAGAGGCATAGGTCTCATCAGTGGTGCTAGGCTGGACCAAGAATGCATTGTTGGATTTAACTGACCTGAAAGGACAAACCTGAGTAAGAAAAGGTGATGACAAGTCCCCTTGCGCTGACGTCATCTATAGGATTCACAGAAGTACCCACGACCAAATAGAATTTCCTCACATCCTACCTTTCTAACACTGATTTTAATCGTACCAAAATAACTGGTACCAACCTAGCTTTGGCGTATAATTTGAAAATTGTTTGCTACACAATGGAAGTTTTAAGAAATAAAGAAAACATCCCAGTTTGAAAAAAGTGGTTAATTGATTCTGCCAATGATTCTAGAGCTGAAACAGAAAGATTTCTCGAATATTTTTTCTGACAGTTTGCCTATTTCAGATGTTATATATACGAGGTCTGTTCAAAGAATGAGGTGAGTTTTCATTCAATATCTATTTTGTCCTCTTCAAAGTAGTTTCCCTCAGATATAGTACACTTTTGCCAGCATTATTTCCAATCCGCGAAGCAGTTCTGGTGTGCACTTTCTGGTATGTCCTTGAGCTCTCACCCTTCGAAGCTTGAAACCAAACAGTTGTTGGACTACAGTAGGGATGAACTATGATGTCTTAACAGGCCTCCTTACATGTCACTGTCGTCTGAATCATCATATCCAGAGACCCGTACTGTGTGTGTCGCCTCTGTTTGGAAAATGATGAAACAGCAGAACATATACTTTGTGCTTGCCCTGCTGCGAACTGAATTCTACCATCTGACCTGAAAGATCACTCACCATATAAACTAATTGGCTTCGTCAAGAAGCTGGGTTTATTTGGTTGAGTTTGAATAGGTGTGAGCCATAATAAACCCTTGCGGGTTGCGGTGGAGGGACGAATAGGCCCACTCACTTTTGACCTAACTTAACTTACCGTATGACTATGTGGCAAGAATTCCTGATGTACTATGCCATGGTAACGGTGAGCAAAATCTCGACATTTGAATGAACTTGGCGTGCTTTCTTTGGTCTCTGCTCTCGTGGGCACTTCCATTAGGACGATTGGACTTTGGTTTCGATGTCAAAACCATATACCCATGATTCGTCACCAGATGACCTTTTGAGCGAATCTGGATCGTTGTTGACATTATTCAACAATTCCTGAGCTATGCTCATGCACGGTTCAAAGATTTCTTTATGTAATTTTTGTCTTTTGTAAGTCACTGTTTTCTTTGCCTTACCTAGACTTTATATTAGATTCATTTCAAATTCAATAAAATGATCCCCAGGTCGTCTAACCGATATTATCCGGATGTTGCTCAGAGCAGTCAGTCTACTTTGAGAAAATCGATGAGGGGTCCACGGACTGCAATGGCCGGAGCCGAAGATGTTACGACAGTAGTATTCAATTTTTGCGAAGAACAGTTTCCTTACAGAACCAAAATTCCTGGCACTCAGGTCACTTTAAGACAGTTCAAGGAATATCTTCCGAAAAAAGGAAATTACAGGTATGTTTTTTTACATTCATAATCTCAATTAGTATTAAAAATGAAACTTGGCTTTGTAGGTACTTTTTCAAGACGGTGTGCGAAGAACTTGGTAATCAAGTTATCCAAGAAGAAGTCATCAATGATGCAGAGGTACTTCCTTTATGGGAAGGAAAAATAATGGCTCAGGTGAAGCCAATCGACTGAGTTATTACGTTTTTTTGAACGTAATTTGGAAATCTTATACGAATCTTTTTTTGAAACCTCTTATTTAAGTATGTAAATTTTTTATTTCATGCAAAATAATTTATTTTTCTTTGTTGTTGAATGTTTTGTGTGTTTACTGGCGAAGAGAAAAATCTTGAGTTTCGAACGGTTAGGCACAAAAAATGCAACAAGGTGGTAAATAAAAGTTTGATTGTTCATAGAGCACGACTGATAGTTTGTCTTGTTCGTTATTTGATGTATTTTTCGAGGAAAAAACTAATTTTGAGATGCATTCATCCTGCCATTATGAACTATTTCGGTTATTTTATTGTTAGTCTACCAGTAAAAAGGTCTATTTAGCCACTAATGCCTAACATTGAACATTTTCAAATTTGAACTAATAGGTATACCTAAGAAATTTATTCAGGTGTTTTCAGAAGGAAAGGCTACTTTACGTGTTTGTTCCATATTTGGGAACAGAACAATTATTAAGGAGTATCGGGTTAAGTCTTTTGCAGGGTGAAGAAAATATTTTTTTGGTAAGCAACTATGTCTTGAATCCTACAATTCAGGAAGACATTCGAAAAAATATATGTCAAAAAATAAATACTTCCCTGTCTAATACCTCCAAATATCTCCTCAGGTAGTAATATATTTCCATAAATTTTTATTTGTAAAATTGTAGGAAAATTATTAAAAAATTAATGATGTTTATTATTCAAAAATTCATTTTGAAAATAGAAAAAATCAAATACAATGAGTAAAACGGAGTTCAGCTTGATTTTGTTCAGTTTAACAGGAATATATTCATTTATCCATTGTTTTATTTTGTAAATTCTCGTCTTCATTACTTTCTTTGAATGTTTTTTTCGTTATACATATAAATTTTTCAACATATTTCAACAATTGTAGTTTATTACTTACTGTACAACAAAAAAGCATTCATTCCAAAAGAAATATTCAAAATGAGATTCTTAAACCACATCAACTCTTTACATTCCGACCTAAAATTTACAATGAAAGTCGCCAGTAACAACTCACATCCGTTCCTGAGCTTTCTCATCACAAAATTCAACAATCCCTTCTCTCACACTGTTTACCGAAAACCAACTCATACCAATCGCTATGTCCTATCATTATCCTGCCCAGTTGAATTCTATTTTGAGTTATCTCATTAACAGATCCATCAGACTCAATGACAACCACAATAGATCCAAGGAACTGAACAAACTCAAATCCGCCCTTGGCCAAAACGAATCCCAAATCCGAAGATGCATCTAACTTCAGCAAATCTAAGCAGCTGAATGAACAGATGGACCACCCAAAAGCTTTTCTTCCTTATAATGGAGTTACCCACAAAGGAAGTCGAAATCTGGACAAAACATAAGGACAGTATTAACAGCCAATAATCAAATTTCCACTTTTCTAAAAACACCTATGGACACGACACTCAATGAGGCACAAGGCATATACAAAGTACCATGTTCCACCTGCTCCGGAACTTAGATCGGACAAACCAATAGAAGAGTCTCAACAGGGTCTATGTCCATGAGCTTGCTGTCCATAAATAAATCCAGCCTCATCCCTTTTCCCTGGCCACAGAATGAACTTCAAAAACATCAAAACCTTTGCCACCAAAAAAAAATTCTCCAGGCCAAGATAATCTGCAAAGTTATTGAATTTGAAAAAGGTCCCAACTGCCTCAACAAATGAGATGATTCAAAAAGCTTACTTCATTCATACAGATCATTACTATCACGCTATACATCTTACTCGCTACTGAAAGTCACACCCCTGTTCCCACTACCATCTCCACCTTCGCACTAACTACCGGTTTGCACTGCACTTTCTGAACTAAACAGACCCTCCTACGTCGCGGTAATTCTCATTAATCCGATGGAGCTCTCGAAAAGACACGATGACCTAGAAGTTTCAAAAAGACACAAGTTGATATTACTGGAGTTTTTTCCCAAGACCAAAGCATCATGTTAATTCCAGTAACATTCATTACTACAGTGCATCAAAAAAAGGCACAAGTGGGGCTTAGCGTAAGTCGCAGTCGATCAAAAAAGATCAGCATCAGCTTGCATTTTTTTTATCACGGAATAATTTACAATAATACTATAGATTCATTTTGCATAGACACAATCTTCAATAGAAATATCGATTTGAAACAAACTTTGTTTTTATTTTGAAATATTTCTCAGAAAAATGTGTAATTTTACACAAATGAACAGGATATTTAAGATTAACTCTTCAAACTAAAAAGAAGAAACTAGATTTTGGTTTCATTCGCTCACACAAATTAAAATTGTCCGCTCTTCATAATGACCAGTTATAAAGTATTGTTCAGTGAGATAGTATCATAGTATGCACAGCTTTCTCAAAAAACTAGAAATAACAGAAGAATGGAAAATAAAACTCGCGAGGAAAGGCCTTGGTTGATAGCTAGTTGAGCAAAACCATGGAGTTTTGAAATTATGATGAAAGCAGTTAATTCATTTTTATTTCAATTTGAATATTTGAAGAAACACTATGAAGAGACAAATTTCCTTTCAAAAAATACAGATTAATCACATTTTGACAGCATTGTTGATGGTGAGAATCTGACAGGAGGAGTTATGTTATACAAATGAAATATGGAGGTTCCAAAAAAAAATGAATATTGTAGCCTTTCCTTGTAGGAAAAATCTAAAGTTTTTACTTAAACATAAAACATACTGCTAGTTTTGGTTTTGTAAAAAGTAGTGTTAAAATGTTTAAATATAATTTATTTATTGTTATTTTTAAGAAATAGTAATATTTTTTTAATTGTTACAGATTAAAAGCGACGATTTTTGTAATATAGAATTTTGTAATTAGAAGTAGAATATAGGAAGTACTATTAAAAATGCAATAACTTTTGTAAATAAAAATAGTAGGTGCATATATTAAGTGCCTTCAAATGTTCAATTCACTTTTTTTACTCTAACTTCCATAGAGATAGTATGTCTGTTATGAATGCTTCCTTTCTGAGAATTTCAGCAACGAAAAAAATGTTTTGCCTACAACAAATAAATTTGACATCACTTTTATGAACTGTTTTTCATTTACCTTTAGGAAAACAATTGGTCTGACAATTAAATCCCTTCATGGTCATGATATAATATGAAATCCCCCGATTGATAGTCAAATATATTGTGAACATTTTAGGGAATATTTATATTTCTGGTGTTCATTTGGATTTTATAACAATAGTATATTAAAAGTGAAAACTGTCAGGAGAGATACATAGGTATAAGGAAATAAATATTTCCAAATAAATTTCGAAATATTAATCTCTTCCAACTACCTACACACTAGGATATGATAAACGTCTGTCGAAAAACAACTACTTTTCCGGCTAATACCACGCTGGATATTGAATTATATCCGACAGACTTTTATGCAAAATTCCTCACAGAGGACAGCCTCACAGATGTTTCTTGTTCATCCAGTAGCAGGGCCATGCTGAAATTATTCAAGTAGATCACCTGCAGACTGCGGTTTTGAGGTAATACCTCTCGTCAGTACAGGACAGATCCTACCCAGGGAGCGAAGTGTCTGGGACTTGATTAATTTCAACACGGCTTCGCTACATATATGAAACCTTCGTCTGAGAGGCAGATTGTTAACTAGTATTAACTCCATCTCGTGAACAAAGCCCCAAGCGTGGAAGAAACTTCCCATATATAAAAACTGTAACAGAAATCAAAAGTGAAAACTATCGAAGAGAGATATATACGTATAAGGAAATATTTCTAAATAAATTTCGAAATATTAATCTCTCCCAACTCCCTATACAGGATATAATTCAATATACAGCCGGGGAAGTAGTTGTTTTTCAACAGACGTTTACCACATCCTACTGTGTAGGTTGTTGGGAGAAATTAATATTTTGAAATATTCATTTCCTCAATAATATATTAGGTTGCTTCAAAGTTTTGTCGGTATTTATCAGTCTAATTCAAACTGTAATATCTCTGTGAATACTTATTCCATTTAATCAAAATAAGCATCATTTGAATCAGTGCACTTTTGCCAACGTGGTAAAAGTCAATTAATTCCGTCATCATAAACATTGTATGCTCGGAATTTGATGAAGTCGACAAAGGTCGTTTCTGGCTGGTCCTGGTAGGCGAGAAGTCTGGGGAGTATGGTGGGTGAGGCAGAACTTCGACGATCAATTCTTTCAATTTTCGGTCACAGTAACTGTGGCTTTTTTTTATTGGTTTTCGCAATTGGAATGTGTCTGGGTGGCTCATTGGTGTCCAACCACTGTCCTGAAGTCCCGAATGTTTCCTGTTGTCAAAGAATATCCACTTTCCATCACACGTGACGATCTGATCCAAAAAAAAAGGATTGTTTTGGTTGCGCAAAAGCGAACAACAGACCTCAAAACGTGACATTTTCTGTGAATCGTTCAAATCGTGAAGCACCCATTTTTCGAGCTTTTTGACCTTTCTAATATGGGCTAACGCCCAGTTCCACCATCTCACGCACCGTTTGTAGTGGGTCGGTCTCCACCAGGGTCCTCAAATCCTCGTCCTAGATCACTGTAGGTCGACCAATTCGGGGCTCATCTTCGAGGTTAAAGTCTCCGGAACGAAATTGCCAAATATCTAGTTCCAAATATCAATTTTTCGCCTCCATGTCTGAAGAGGCAAAAAATTAAAATTTGGAAAAAATGAACAGCATCAATGTATAGAATTCAAAATTTTTCATTGGTCAGTATAGTAACTTGTGTACCGCGACAATAAATATTTATCTAGATAGAGAGCTACAAAAACCACATGACATTAAAACTGACAAAACTTTAAAAACAAGCTAATGTTATTCTCACCCCGATAGTAATTTTGCTGATGTGACAAATGTAAAAGATTTTTTTTCAAAATGTCAGCCGTTTTAAAAAGGTCATTGAAACAAATTTTTTCAATCATTAAGTTTATTCAAAGACAAAATTTACTGAAACCCCTGTATTATGATTCATATATTCATAATATGATCATAAATTCACAGAACACTTATATTATTATGATGTTCCATGATATTACATAGTGCAGTACAATTAAACGTAATTTAGTACAATTTTCATTTTTGTATTGGCACAATTTTTCGTTCCCGAAAAACATCACTGGTAGGTACTTTTACGTGATTTTACGAGGTTAGGAATTGGAGAAGAAGCGGAAAAGTGACATAACAATAACCTTAAAATATTTATGGAATATTTCAATTTAAAGAGAATTTAAAAAAATAATGAGGCATCCGAGTTTCATAGCAAGAACGGTTTTTGTTCATAACAATGATGTGGAAAGTGCTTGCAGAATTTTGAACAGAATATTGGGAAGAGAAGATATTTTAGATCAGTTTCGACGAACGCGGTACTATGAAAAACCTTTTCAGGTAATCACAAATTTTCAGTTTTATAAATCTTGTGCAACTGTTGATAATTTCAGTTCAGAAGACGGATCAATTTTGAAAAATGCAAATCCATTTACAATGAAGATATGGACAGAAAAATTCAGTTTGTCCTAAGAAAGAACAGAACAGATCCATTCCCTGGGTGTTTTTAGTTAAATAGTTGTCTGTAATGATACATTTTCATCAAAGTGAACTATAATATACGAATATATTAATCAAAAGTAACTATTTCATTTCGAAGTCATATCAGTGCATTAATAAATCAGTCGATGACAGATATTACATTGTATATGATTTTTGAGTTGTTTTTTCCACCAATCAGCTGCTTTCCTGTATGTCAGAAACTTGTGGTGAGGGAATGCAAGATAATTTATAAAAAAATATTGTGATATGCACTTCAATTTTCGTCACCTGCAAACGTAATATCTTGGAAAATAATCTAATGACTTTTAAAACTACTACAGTAAGAAACATGGGGAGACACGTTCAATTCATCAAATATAGATGGGAAATACAATAACTTCTATACCACCTTCAAATATCACTACAACATCGCTTTCACTTGACGAAAATTCGATTTGAGTGAAAATAAAAACCATGGTACTCTCCCGAATTGAAAGAGCTTCATAATATGCTATGTGAGATGTCAAAAATGGTAAATAGTACGTCTAACAATATAGTACATACAAGGTATAAGATCAGATCTTGAAGCACTATTACAATGAAAAAGTGAAAGAAAATTAACATACTTATAACAATGACAGATTACAACGAGCACCAAATCTCATGAGACAACTGGAAAATAATAAGTCAATAAATAACCTAGTGAAACAACTTATATCAAGATCTTCAAATGATGTGGTGCTGCAGGTTTTTCCTGAACCAGAAAGAGCAAATGTGCCACTAGAATCAATGAAGTCGCCCCGGAGCGCCAATTAATTTTTATTGTTGTTTTCNTCAAGATTGAGCATTAGTCAGGACACTCACTTATACCAAGGAATCAGGTGGTATAACCAACTTATGAATATATAAATCTAAAGAAATGAACTTTAAATGTTCGAACCAGTCTCAGATATACCTCACAGTAGGTTGAATGGACCGACGCCTATCAGAAAACAACTACTCCACTGGCTAATAGCACAAACGGCGTTTGATTATATCCGACAGGCGTCAATGCAGGAATCTTCACAGAAAATTTCCTGCATATGCAATTGGTAATACAACTGAAAGAGTCGACCTTCAATTTTGGAACAGGCCCACTTGCAGACCGATTTCGAGCTCCTTATCCACTTGTCAGTGCAAGATAGTGACCATCATCGACCTCAAGTCAATGATATTCCATAATTGAAAATCGAAATTCTTTCAGAGTATTTCATTCCTCGTCTTAAGTTGGAACGAACAACAAAAATGTCACTCCATCTAGTGGACGAGATACTAACTAACTGTATATCCGAAATTTGCCCGATATCTCTGAATAAGGAAGAAAAACTTTCTTATTAGTCAGTGGGCTATGCTTGAAGACAGGCAGTTTAAATGTTCAAGCCAGTTTCATTTCTCTAGATTTGTTTACTGCCTGTCTTCAAGCTTAGCCCACTGACTAATAAGAAAGTTATGAATATATTCCCGCACTTAAGCTCAGTGAGTTCAAATGTGTTGAAGGATAATCTGATTCGTTATCTAATAAATCAATCCTTCTACTCCATTGAAGAGTTTTTAGATGCTACATTGTAGATAAATTTAATCCAATTATATGTGTATTTCTCATACAATGAAGGGTTTTTGGACGCTACACTGTAGAGAATTTTAATCCAATTGTATGTATATTTTTCATAATTTAAATTGCATATTTCCAAGTTTTTATTGCCTTGTGACTAGTCCGATAAGTTTTTTTGCATGTATCTATGTATTCCCTCGTATGTATATGTAAATTCTTCAGTGATGAATAAATAAATTCTTCTTCTAATCTTCTATAGGTCATATATTGAGAACCGAGGTTCCTACGAAACTATTTTATGACTCGTAGATTATATTTGGTGTATGACATTATTAACAGCTTTCCATGTCACATTCATTTTCCGAACATAGGTACTTACATATGTAGTACAGGGTTAAGTTCAACTTTCCTACATTTCATATTTATGAAGGAAAGTTTATCACATAGGTTCCAGATGTCTTTAGTTATTTGCCATAATACACTGCAGTGGATTTCTATCCTCTTTCATGGGTATTGGTGCTTTTCTAGGTAAGGGGAGCACTGAGTAATGATTTGTTTTCTTTTAAACAATCTGTTTAAAATCTGTTTTTCCGTTAATCAGCTGCCGCCCCCATACAAACAACAACTCTCAGAAGTTGAGAAACTTGTGCGAGTTAAGTACTAACGAGGTCTTTCCTTTTAACGTGTGATTCCTAACACGGTTGCAGAATTATCCCAGCTTCAACCAGATAAATTCTCTCGAGAAAAATACCTGGTCGAGGGGGGGATTGAACCCACGGCCTTTCGATCGTGAGTCGGGCGCACTACCACCGCGGCCAATTCCACAACATTGGAAGTATACATTTACCAAGAAACACTGTCAACTACATTCAAACAAAGTAAGTTTTGCCATGAATGTTCAAGTATCGGCATTTCCTTCCCACAAAAAAAAAAAAAGTTTCAATGAATATATTATTATTCCAATAACTCACTTCAAATTATTTAAAAACAATAGGCCAACTATGAGAAGGGATTAAAATTTTTATCACAATTAAAATCTTCTTTGAAGGGATTATTATCATCAGAATCGTCATCTTCAAAAGGATTCGTTGATTTCTCATACGCTTCATCGAAGGGATTCTTTGGTGTCATGTGATCCACTTTTTTATTTTCTGAACCCCTCGTTGTGTATCGAGACAAATTGGCTTCTAAGGAAGAACTGTACCTATAAGGACAATTGAATTAATCACAAATCCTTAATATAACTATCACATTCTTGGCTAATTCATACAGATCATATGAACTATGTAACACCAGAAAATTAATGTTATATGTATTGATGCTAAGTATGATCTATTTTCTATTGAAGTGGCAGTTGAATACAGAATATATAATTGAAGAAAAAGTTACAAAAATATTTGAAGGTGACACATACTTGTGTTCCTGGATTCTCATACGTCCCTCTGATATCGGCATTGCACTGGGTTTTGACTTTATTTCAGTTTGTCTCAGTCTAGCTTCAGCCCCAGCCCCGTAAGATACCGTTTCAGATTTTTTTGGATTTTGTTTGTTTTTGATTGATTCTGGTATATCCAAACTCTTTTGTATAGACTCGTCGGTAATGACCTACAACCCGAAATGATTATTTGTTTAAAAAATTATACCAGATTCATACTAGACTGAAAGTTTTAAATAACTGTCAAATCATTGTTTCAGTGAAAAGTCCATATCTAGTTGATAACAATCAAAATCACCTTGTATTTATTGAAAACTCCTCTGCCAAAATACTCTGCTGCCACTGAAAATCCGTCATGAGCTTTCTCAAGTTGCGAATGGAATGTTTCATGTAGGTCTTTATTGTACTCTCTAGCTCTGAGAAGTTCTACTAGATTTTTATTTTCTGGCTGGCACGTCGGACATTCCTTCTCATCATCCGAAAAGCTCTGGAAACAATGTTGATGGAAGCTGTGTTCGCAGAGAAAGTGAATCTTTGGCAGTTCTAGGGTGTGATGACATGCTGCACATCTGGAACAGGTTAGGCATTGAAAAACATCACTACTTGGGTATAAGAGATGTGTATGTATACCCATGCACACAAATATAAAAACTGGAACCACAAATATGCGGTAGGCTCTTGTTGTTATCTTCGTGGGTAAGTGTTGTTTTCTGTTTTTGGCGACCAAGTGTTTCCCATCTTTGCACTTGGCTGCACCGCGTTGATGAGGACAATAGCCACAAACACATGTCCACGGTTTCCCTCCCCCTTTTCTAGATTGCTGTTCCGTGAATTCTCCTCTTTTTTTATTAAAATCATTCACACTTGATAAAACCTTTCTGTACCCGGAAGTCACGCCTACGTGGTAATGTTGGGTGTATCCTAGAAGTTCTAGGTCCACTAACTAGAACCACAAATGTGCGGTAGTATCCATTTCGAGCGTATGTTTTGTTTCCTGATGAGGCCAATAGCCAAAAACACGTGTCCGCGGTTTGCCTTCCCCCTTTTCTAGAGTGCTATATATATATATATATATATATATATATATATATATATATATATATATATATATATATATATATATATATATATATATATATATATATATATATATATATATATATATATATATATATATATANGTATACAGCAGCTGCTGGAAATTGGGCATCGTCAGTACCGGGCAGGCGGTCCTCGATTGTAGACTAAATGTGAATAACCAAGAAAAGTACTTGAGCCACCAGTAGACAGCTGTTTCAGCCTATTGGGCATCGTCAGTACCGGGCAGGCGGTCCTCGATTGAAGACAAAATGTGAAAAACCAAGAAAAGTACTTGATAGAATAGGTGCGTAAACGCAAGCAAGACATAAGTGGAACCATCTATTAGTGTGACACCCAAGTCAACTTGCCAAGTTGTTTTGTCTCTGTTGGTGGTTTGACCAATCAAACTTATGTCTCGCTTGCATTTACGCAATTATTTTTACTAAGTACTTTTCTTGGTTATTCACATTTTGTCTTCAATCGAGGACCGCCTGCCCGGTACTGACGATGACCAATAGGCTGAAACAGCTCTTTACCAATGGTTCTTAAATTGAAATCAATATGGGGGTTATCAAAATAGTACTTATCTATTTATATACATGTATATCTCCATTGGTCTCCGTATGAGTTAATCTGCCCTGTGCAGTGGTTGCTATGGCATTATAACTTTCAATGATTTAAAAAATTGGATAGGTGAAGCTACGTTTCCAGAAATTAGGATAAAATAATTTTTCTAGAGAGAAGATGAATTTAGAATGAATAGTTGTGTTGAAAGAATCAAATCAACCCACCGTGATCCTCTAATCTCAATCACGCCACTTTTGAGCTTCTCTAGATGTTGCTTGAGTTTTTCAGTATCTTTTCTATAGTTAGAAGTCAATTCTGCGATTTCCTTAGTTTTCTTCTGCTCTTGCTGAAGTTCGTTTGTGATATATGAACGAATGTGTCCTAATGTAACTTCCGCATGTCCTGTACCGATTGCGTCTATTACCAATTCAGTCGAAAACAACTTCTCTTTCGCTATCACAGTTAGTATCTGAAATCAACAATTTAACTCAAAGAGTTTGAAGATGAAAATTAGTAAATTTTGTTGGACAAAATTGAACAGAAACAAAATAATCGAAGGAATAGCTTAAATCTACCTCATTCAATAAATCCATGGAAGGAATTTTGGTATCTCTAACACAAAACCAAAGAGCTTGTACCCACAAGGTTGGTTCCTGATGGCCAAACCTTCTACAGCAAGCTAACACCGAGTTAGGGTCATTATTTGAAATGTGATATCTACAAGATACAAAAAAATATTTGACATTTCTAATTGATAGTTCATTGCATCTTGTTTTGCATACTCACCTTAAAATTTGTTGATACAGCTTCTGTTCTTCATATAAATACAAAATACCTTCTCTGAATGAATGCATGTGGCATACAACAAGAGCCTGCGACTTATCGTAATCCACATCGGGATTCTGCAAAAGTTTCAATATTTTCTGGGCCAACTTATTTCTATCTGAAACATTTTCTGAACTTGACCAAACAAGTAAATAATGCTCCAAAAGCGTATTATATACCGGTGTACTCAAACTACATCCTTCACTGATCAGATATTCCAGAAACTCTACAAGTCTTTCGGAATTATTCAGAAACAAGTGAATATAATCTTCCGGATCGGCCCTTAAAGTTATCTCATAATTTGAAGAAATCATATCACTAGAGAGCGTAGACAAGCTGTTGGGTTTATAATTTGTGCATAATCTTTTCAAAAGTTGGGTACTCTCGTGGGGTACTTGTTTGACAAGAATGGTTCCATATTTTTTCATGTAGTGTTCGGCTTCTGCGAACTTCAAATTAGAAATATAGTCAAGGACTTCAGAGTACTTTTGATGATCTTCAATTTGGAGTTTGATGTACCAGTCATGCTTCTCGTGTTTTTTAGCGAGCATCAATGCTTCAGCTGGGCTTCCTTGCCTGAAGTAAAAAAATTGTCATGGGCCACAAAAAAACTATAGTAGTTTTCATTTTGTTTTGGATAATCTTTATATTATTACTGAAATGATCATATTGTGGCAAAAATTGCAAACTACCAAGTTATCATAGGCTAGACGTACACCACAGACAGTCTTCGACTTTGTGGTTTTTTCAGTTCATTTGATATCTAATTAGTGCTTCATATAATGTTACAATTTGAATCATATAGTTCATACTAGTAAGAACATACACGTGAGAACAAATAAATTATTATTATCATGAATACCCTATTGGAGAAAAATAATTGCGTTCCTCCAATCCAATTTACGACTGCAATGCCAAAGGCAGTTCTTTGTTAATTTTTGGTCCCTGAATGCGAAAATAATAGTAAACATTCCCTAGCACGTAAGTTTTTTGAGTTATGATTTTTTTCACAAAAATTTAATGAACACGACATTCCAAATTTGCTCTTCCCCAAATTGAGGAAATTGTTTCAAAAGTGGCAACAGAGCGGCTCTGTCCGGTATTCGAATCTGCTTCCGTTGTATATGAGACTTGTAACGCCGTTTCTCGAACTTCCGATAGGTACTCGAAATTTCCAGAAAATATCAGAAATACGGAACCGCTATAAAAGTAGCAGATTAATAATCGGATCATCAATCACGCGAATATTAAGAGGATTATATTAGTGTTATCTTTGTGAATAAAATAAGTTGACTCCTGTAAACGCAGTATCACATATTTGAACTCGACGTACGCAACAGTACAAAAATGTCCAAAGTTCAGAAACGTGGGTCCGTTAATCACGCAGATAGTTTTTGCTATATATGTGGTCAGTTTACTTCTAAATCGCAGAAACAACCAATTAATTAAATGACCAAAGTAGCTTACCAAAAGTATTTTGGATTTGTTGTTGGTGATAAAGATCGGGAATAGGCTCCTCACGTATGTTGCCAAACCTGTGCAGCAAATCTAAGTAAGTGGTTAAATGGCAAACGCTCTTCTATGCCTTTTGCAGTTCCAATAGTTTGGCGAGAAACAACAAATCATTACAACGACTGTTACTTTTGCATGACAAATGTGTTTGGTTTTTCAAGAAAGAGCAAACACAAAATTGTATATCTGGATATTCCTTCTGCAAGAAGGCCGGTTCTTCATGAAGAAGGTTTACCAGTTCCAACACCTCCGGCAAGTTGGGAGGAAGATTTGGAAATGTATGATGACCAGGCAGATTCTCATGATGTGCCGGAAAATCCTTATTTCCCCAAGAGTGAAGGAAGAACACCCCATTAAATCGAAGAACCTGAATTAAATGACCTAGTTCAGGACCTCCACTTGTCCAAAGAAATTGTTGAACTATTAGGGTCTAGATTACATCAATGGAATTAACTAGCCCCTACAACCATGTAGAATGTAGAAAATTACGAAACACTTGTAGAAGAACTACTTGAAAACTACTGCAGAATGGGATGTTGCATGTCTCCCAAAATTCATTTCTTGCACTCTCATTTGAATTTTTTCCCAGAAAATTTATGAGCTGTCAGTGACGAACAAGGGGAAAGGTTCCACCAACACATTCTGACAATGGGGCAACGTTACCAAAGCAGATGGGATGCAGCAATGATGGTAGATTATTGTTGGAAAACTTATGAGGGAAAACGATGAAACATTTAAACGAAAGTCAACATTTGCAAAAAGGTTATGCACAAAAGACTGCATTTGAATGTTTTTTCATGTTTATTGTAAATAAAGTCTGTTATCCTCAAAATATATTGTTTTTTTCTTGTTATGATCTTATAGTTCCCTATATGTGAACATTTTTGTATAAAATAAAAAAACGATAACTCAAAATATTTACATGATGAAAAATTTTTGATGTTGAAGTCGCAGTCAGGATGCTTTTTTAAACTCTCATGTATAGCCATTATAATATTAGTCGCAATGTTTTTTTTTTCCTTATTTGTTGGCTAGTGCAATTTTTGGTTGTTAGTCGAAACCAACTTCTTCAATCTAAATAGAACATCCTCTGCACAATTGCTCATAAACTAAGCAATACAGCTAATGTCGCTTACAATCTTCTGGTCAATTCAGACAATATTGTAATTGTTGATAGAGAGAGAGAGAGAGATCGAGTCGTACAGGATACTGGTAAATGATAAATAAATTTAAAAATAATCAGTTTGTATACATAAAAACATAAGTCGTACAGGATGCTGGTAAATAATAAATAAATGAAATATATTTTTTAACATTATAATTATAAAATTCTTGTATATTCTAGTATGGTCTATCACTTAAAAAACCTTTCACAGTCTTTCTGAAGCATTGTAAAGACTTGATTTCTGTTACATTATTTGGCAAATGGTTGAACATTTTACAACCNAACGGCATTCAACACTCAACGGCAGTCAGGTAAATGCGCAACTTTGCCCCAATTTAACCATCTTCGTATCTCTCATAGTTTCTGAGATCCCAATGGTGAGGATCGAATTTTTAACACCCTGTATTAGTAGACTTGGGTTACACTAGTTACTTAACTTCATTCGTCAAAACAGTAATAAATTCCTCACCTACTTCTGCTCTAATTAAAAATTTTTCTTTCTTTCTCTCACGGAGCTCAGAGAAAGTCGATTACCACCTTAACAAGTATTTCAATGACTTAGTAACTTTGTTGCACTCAGTTTAATATTTTATAATTCTCATTATTTGACTGATATTTGTAACCTTTGTAGTTGTGATTTTTTTAATTATATTGATGTGCCACACTTTTGAATTTGGAACAGTTTAACAATTTCATTTGTTATCAGTCATTTTGTCTTTTGTATTGCCTTCTTATTTTCATTAAGTTTTTTAACTAAGACCACTCAATGAACACAAAGCTTATTCTTTCTCTCTCTCTTTCTCTCTTTCTCTGTGAACAAAAATTCAAAATAACCTAATAAATAGTAGACACTAGTGGACCCAAAATTTTGCAAAAAAATACAGTCTACTTTCAAAATATGAACCAAACTGTTGAGTGACTGAAAAATTATATTTAGTCCATTAAAAGTTCATATACTGTATGCATTCACCTACTCACCTACATACTTGAATAGCAATATCAACATCATAACTGAAATCCCCATCTTTCGACATGATAAACTCCTTCAAACTATCAGATTGTCCAACCGAATGATTCAGTTTAGTGTAACAATTCAGGAGAAGGGTGGTATGGTCTTCTGTAGCATGACCCTGCTTGTGCAAAGCTTGCAGATACAAAGTGAGTTTTTCCAAATGTTGTGAATCGAGAAATTTGCGAATCACGTAACTCGGTTCAAGTTTACCAATTGTTTTTACATACTGCTCAATAGCACCTCTGAAATCCCCTGCAAATGAAATTACGATTATAGAGGGAGAGTCACAATTAATGTTTTTTAATGTTTTGCGTGTTTTAGGAGTGGATAATTCCCAAAAATAGATCTAATAGACCATATCGAATAAGGATTGCTTTGGAGCACATTTATTTTTTCTGAGTTGGCTGCTCTGTGTATTTGTCATTAGTGTCAAGTTGTCATATTGGTTATTCACAACGTTACTTGTGTTAAATAAAAAGAAAACTAAATGGGAAAATTAATAAAATAAAAACAGCAAATGGAACTTGAAAATGGATAAAATAAACATGAACTACATATGACAACTGACATTAAGGAAAAATAGATAGCCAACTTGATTTTCACCAAATTTGCATGACAATTGTCAAATTTTTTGAAACAAAAACTTTTTGAATTCAACATACCCTTATCACACAAATGATCTCCATACTGGCTGAAAATATTCACCAACCCCTCCGAGTCATATTGCTGCGACTTTGCGATGCGTATTGCTACGTCATACAAGTTCTTTTTGAACAGCAGAGACAACTTCGACTGCAAATCTTTCTCGTCCAAGTGGTATAATTTATTATCTTCATCAAGGATATAAAAAGTCCCCCACTCGCTCAATACTGCTTTGATTTTCGCCATGGTAGCCGAAAAAACTATAAACTTGTTGTGGATGTCGAGAACAGTTATCAAATTGCCCTCAGAAGTATTGCTCGGAATTTCATTTGACATCGTAGTTAATGCTGCAGACCTTGTAGCCTTAGAAATGATAATGAGGTAAGTTCGGAACCACTCCAGCATTACTTTCTCTCCTTCTACTGCATAGCAGGGACCTCTTCCGTCAGATGTGTAACAGTAAATTGCCTATAAAACCATTCAGATAAAAATTTTGAAAAAAAAAAGAACTGCTTTGTATGATGAATTGATTTGACATATTTATTTATTTATTCAACGGGTAGTCCCAATTACAATTTGTTATAAAAAAANCACACACAGCGAGGAGACACCAGCAAATTAGAAATAGCAGAGCACATTTGGACTCATCAACATAATAACATCAAGTGGGCTCAAGCTGAAATCATCCACAAGGAAGAACACTGGTTTAGGCGAATATTCAAAGAAGCCGCATATATGTTGTCCAACAACGCATTTAGCCAAGCTAGCGTGGAGATACGCAACATATGGTAACCCCCACTTGAATAGTCAGATCTCGGAGGAATAATTCCAGTTATCACCCGAAGACGATTGTGGATGCTAACAATTGAAACGTTGTGAAGTAACTTGGTTTGGAATTTTTTAATTTTCATTTCTTGTTAATAATTTTTTAATTTTCATTTCGTGTTAATAGTTTTATTTTTTTATTTTTTGGTTGTTGCTTGTATTTTATTTCATTGTAATTTCAGTTTTTTGCTTGATGTAATTATTATTTTTCAGCTAATCTCTTTTTTAGTTTTTTACAGGTTCTTTTAGGCATTTTAAATCAATTTACATCATATTAGACAATGGAAGTCCGAACTAATGAAATGCACCAAGAAACATCGTCAACTACCTTCAAACAAATACTTTGTATGGTATTATACATGAAGCAACAATGAATTTGAATAACACATATTTTTTAAATACATTTAAGAAATATCACAAAATTTAATCGTTTACATTATTTTTAAATTGTCATAGAATTCTCATTTTCCTAAGATATTTCAATATGGTTGACAATGTTTCTTGGAGAATGAAAGAGGATCGGAATTTTATTGTTTAAAAATAACAACAGATTTGCAATCCATGATAAAATTGATGAAACATTAAAAAAACAAATAAAGGACCGAAACATTCGGATGCTTAGTTGAAAAAATCAAATGAAAACGAATAGAAATGAAAATGAATAAAAAAATTTAAATATGAGAATGCTAAGAATATCAAGAAATTAAATTATTGCTATCTGAAATGGAAATAATAATAATTTATTGTTATCGGTTTTATGAAAAAAAAAAAGTAAAAATTAATGAATTTCAAAATAATCAACAATTAAAAATGACCGTACTGAAATATTTCCATGGGTTATAAATAATGAACATTCACCATATTTTTTCAACAATCCATGTATGTGCAAGGTTAAACCTAGAGAATCTTGTAAACCCCCACTTATTGTCCAAAAATAATTGACTGATGAGTATTTTATAATAGAAAGCGTAATCATGAATGAATGAAAAATATAGTGCTGAAATTGGCTCTATTGCTAAATACAATACAAGATCTGATAAAAAAAAATTAGTGTTTCTTTAGACAACTAAGTTTTTCTCTCTGTCTCCAGGTGTTTCTGCGCATATTCTCGGAATGTGTGTTCATTCTCCACTCTTTGTGGTTTACGACCCCAACCCTATTATCTTAATGGTCACCTGTTCATACAACTTTAAAACTGTTTCTACATTGGGCATATATTGAGCTTTGTGACTTTTTTAAGACGCAAAATTGTGTTGAAATATAAATCATATATATAAAACTTTATTTCTCCCCATGAAAACAAAATATATAGAATTTTACTAGTCAATTATCAAACAATGAATGTTGACTCTAAAAACACAAATACTACTCACGTCTTTTGTCCCTATCATAAAGTGGCATTCTTGCATTGACTCTGCAAGCACACTGCATTTTTTCTCGCACCCTATATTATCTAAATGATACTAAAAAATCACATGATTAATTACAACCAGTTATACGAATAAAGAATAAAAATACTTTTTGCTCTTTATCTTTCTGGGTAATATTGTAAACAACCACTGAAGATTCAGTTGCAACAAACAATAGAACGTTAGCAGCAGTAGATTTGAAGGCTAGACCAGTTATAGCAGAGCTGGCTGGCCTCAGGGGCTTCTGCTTTGAACGTCTATCCCTGGTAATGTCGCCCCTGAAAAATATCATTCTATTAATTACAGAAATATAGCAATGTCCAACGATTTTGAAAACATTTTTTCACTCGTAAGCATGATCACTATTTCTTTTGTTAAGTTCTACAAAAAGTTTCTTGTGAGTTTCTATCAAAATTGTTTGGACACTAGTGAGAAAATAAAAATAACTCTTTTATTCGCTAATTCAAATCGTGACATATAAATAAGGAGTCACTTATAAATTGAAAGGGGTATATTTTGCAAAAAAGATTGGTGATTTGCCTCTTCACTTCTCCCTCTTCATACAGAAGAAAGCAATATTTCAGAATAAACTCTGTTCATGCAAAGAAGTTACTGTCAAATACAAACCGGAATAAAAAACTCTCCCAAGACAACTACTTTCACTTGAACATTGAATTATAAGAAAGAGTACTTTTGATACAACTACTACTTTCGTATACCTGCTTGGAGTTTTTTTCACGAGATGGAGCTGTTACTTGTTAACAGTCTTTCTCTTAGATGAAGGTTTAATACATGCAGCCGAACCGCGTTGAAATTAATCGAGTCCCAGACACTTTGTGTTTAGGTTGGATCTTTCCTGCACTGATGAAAGTTAATACTTCGAAACCGGTATGTAGGTGATCTACTTGAATGATTTCAGCATGGTCCTACTGGTGGATGAACGAGAAACATCTGCAAGACTAGCCTCTGTGAGGTATCTGGAATAAATGCCTGTCGGATACAATCAAATATCCAGCGTGGTATCAGCCGAGGAAGTAGTTGTTTTCCGGCAGGTATTTACCAGAACTGTGTAGGTAGTTGGGAAAGATGAATATTTCGATATTTTATTGCGAAATATTCATTTTCTTATACGTATGTATCTCTCCTTAATACAATTTTCAAACACGTTTTGATTACTTTCCAATGAACATTGCATTGTATAAGACATTTTTTATCTTATTCAGTTTGTGTTCCCATCATTCATCATGGAATTGAAACATATATCATTCATAAAAATGCTACACAATACAATATATAAAAGAGTTACAATATAAAATTGCACTTACAGGAAACACTATCACTCTCAATAGCATACTTGGAAGTTCCGGAATAAGACACCTGTCTCTCACCTCATCATCAACTTTTTGGACAACAACGAAGCACTCATTGCATTAATAACATTACGGCATTGGAAAGAGACAAATCATCTCATGTCAAGATGACAGTTCAAAAAGTTATTCCTACGCACATAAATGATATAATATGTTTAAATTGCATAAAGAATGTTTGAAGTACAAACTGAATAAGAAAAAGAGATTTTCGGATAATGCAATATTCATATGAAAGAAGATGTTTCCAAAGTACTTTTTCTTTTGTGTAATTCTATATTCATGTGAAAGTAGTCGTTTAGGGAGGGCTGATTCTTCCAGTTAGTATCTGAGAATAAATTCTATACATGATCTACACATTTCTATATGGAGTTAATTTTAAGCTCAATTGCTTTCTTCTTTCCTTCAGAGTTTTCCACTTTTTTGTATAAAAATAGAGAAATAAAAAATCAAAACACTTTTCATGCAATACCTAATTATTTTACATAGCTTTTCTTTATTTTTGTTTGCTGAAGAAAAAAAAAGTTCCTTCAAATTTACTGCCATTTTCCTATATGACAGTCAAAGAAGACCAATGCACTTTTAAGTGTAAGATTCTACTGTGAGAAATAACTACCTATAAAGAATAAGTGATCCATCAACAAATCCCACTGCCATCAGTTGCAAATCCTCATGGACACATAATGCACTGGTCAGTACTGGTTTGTTGGCAGGCATTGCCCTAGTAATTCGGTGACAATAGGGACTGCCATTTTTATCCAATCTACTTGTATCCCAAACTTTTATCAGGGGATTGGTGCCAAGTTCGTCTTGCTACAATGTCATATACATAGCTAAGATAAGAATGAAAATTGTATAGTAGGTTTCACAGTATATGGTATTGGCTAAACGATTATAATGAAACCAATTAAACCCTCAATTTGTAAAACCCGAATCAAATAAAGGGAAGATAATCACAATATTACACTACACTACTACACAATGGGATTAAACCAGGTAGTTCATGGCAGTTGATAAGCCAATACCATTCAGAATGAAACATACTATACTAGGTTTTTCATAGAAAAATGAATAACACATGGTTGTTAAAAATATAAAAGTGTACAGTTAAAAATTGATGATTTGACTAGAATATTGTTACTTATACATGATAATTATGATAACCAATTCTCTAGTTTTGTCAAATATTTATTTATTTATTTGATAAGTACTTTGTTTAAAATTTTTTCAAAGTGTCTTATAAAATCTGACCGAAAAATCTGGGTAGTTGTTTGTGAATAAAAAAAATGTAAAATTTCATTTTTCAAGTTTGCACATAAACGGTTACCCAAAAGTTGAAACTAAAGAACTGAACCTTTTAGGAACTCAATTTCGGTGACATTTGTTATCTTTTTTCACAATCACATGTTGCGGACCTTCATTTGCCCATTTCAAATGTTTTCACAGACTAAAAAACTTTCGTTTCACCAGAATAACCTTCTTTTGGAATCATATTCTAAATTATTAAATGATGATCTAATCTGAACATTTTATATAGAGAAAATGGAATAAAAATCTGCACCAAAAAATCCTATGGTTGAAGTTTGTATTGTCAGAAGTGAGTCCCTGAACAAGCCAAATTGTTTGATTTCATGATCACCTGTCAGAAATATGTGAATCTAATTATTTTAAGTTCTTCAGAGAATTTTGTGGGCATGAAAAACAAAATTTTACCGAAAACATTGATTGGAACTACCTCAACTTACCCCAATGGTAACCAACAATGGAGAATTCTTCAATTGATGCGTCAGATCAACTCTTATTTCATATGCTCTGAAACTTGTGACATACCAAGATCGGGATATCAAGTAAATTTGACCTAGAGAGTCACTCAATACCAGATGATTATTACCACTTGAAGTAGTTGTTACCTTGCTTTCCTAAAATTGTAAATTAAAATTTTAAAAATATTAATTTCAAGATTGTTTGGAACCCAAGACCTGAAACAGCTGATATTAAAAAAAAATGCTTGAAAGTTACAAAAGTAGGGGTACATTATGACAATAATATAATATTCATATTGGAATAGTATTATTTGAAACTGCTTTCTACTCAAAATAGATACTAGAAAGCCAAAATTCTTCAATATCTCTCCCTCAAGAAAAAAATTGACAATGAATTTACCTTAAATAACTCGCCAATTTTTCCTTCATCCACATCTTTTTTGAGATCAAAGAAATGAAATTTTCTCCACTAAAACAAACCAAGTAATAATTGGGAATAAAATTATAAAGAAAATATACCTCCAAAAATGCCATTATTCGCTCATAGATGAATATCCAATGATTATAAAGTTTATTATACCATTGAATCAATTTTCAGTATTTTCATGTAAAAGACACCCCTTATATTTGTTTTTGTTAATTTGTTGTTTTTGTTTTTATCTTGTCATTTTTCATTTTCAGGAAATCGACTTCTGACAGTTCTGACTAGAGGAGGGTCGGTATTTGAGGAACAATATTTCGTAACGCGATTTTTTTATATCGTACTGTTGCGGTATTTTGTAGGGCGATTTTTGAATATCGTACCGTTGCTGTGTTCAAGAATGATTCTTGACGGTATATCGCAGAGTATTGTATCGCGTCACCTCAGTTTACTGTAAGTACCCTTATACCATTTCGCTAACTGTCATGAAACCGAATCTCTGTCATGGTGCTTTACTGTAGGTAAGAATGGAACGCGATATATCATCCACAAGCTATTCTATACCGCTCCGTACTTCGTTCCTTCTCGTGCAGTTTCACCTGTATTTATCTCGGTAATCTGTCGCGGTATTTTCCAGTCGCGATTGCGAGTGGAACGTTCCAAAAAAGAAGCGGTATGCCCCATCTCTAGTTCTGACAGTAATGACACGGAACACTTTTTGGGTAATGACATACGATCTATGGTTTTGAAATGTTATATCCACGTGTGGGTAACTTTATCATTAATTGTTATTTAACAAAGCGTACCCATTCAAAAAGAAGCAATTTTCTGAATCAACAGGAATGCAATACTTTGCAACGCTCGTTCCAACAACCAAGTCGACGTTTTCAGAAGATGAAGAAAACTGAAACTGGTTCAGTTTTCGTTATTTCCTGCCAACTCAGTTGGTGAAGGGAGCCAAGAAGAAGTATTGCATTTTTGGTGATTGGAAAAGTGCTTACTTCGAATTTATTCTACGTCAGAGGTTCCAGTTTTACCTTTTATTAAGGCGTACCGAGAGGAAAATGGTTGTCAGGCTACATCCCCTGTTACATGAAATATACAGTTGATTGAAATGACAAGTCATATTTGTAGCTTATTATGGTTGGTCAAAATAGTAATTGTAAGGTGCTAAATGAAGAACGTTTTTATCAAAATTAATTAAAAATGTTCTGTCATCTATAATTTACGACAATTAGACTCTGAATAAATGGCAGCCATTTGAATTTTTCGCTTGAACTCATCACTTTGCAGTGAACATAAATACTTGAAAAGTTCCAGCAAATTCGAAAAGAACTTTATAAACATGTATAGCAGTTTCGTAAACTGTCTAAAAGTGTCACAGGATTTCTGTAACTTGGTCATTGTCAAAAAGTAATTGATACAAAATTGACTCGAGTTTTCAAACAGATCAATGTATTCAATCAATTCAACATAATAGATGAAAATCAACTCAAAACAAATGTTTCCTGTAATATTTTGAATTCGGTCAATTGGAAAAAACACATGAAAATATGAATCTTGTATTTTGCAACTGTGGTAACATTGAAAAATGTTCATTCATTATAAAGAGCACATAAACAATATATATGAATTTGAATACATCCAAATGCGCTCACAAAACTCGACTTGTTTGACAATTTTCAACTAATATAAACGACAAAATATTTTTTGAAACTGCCCAAAAATATTAGTTTTTCTATTGGACAACATAAATGTTGTTCAAAATAGGTCTTTTTGGTGCAAATAAATTTCATGCTGATCAGGTAAAAGGTGATTTTGGTGAATGTTGCAATCTTGCTTTGTTGAACATATCTTGATTTTTGAATCATGTGCCTCTTTCTGTAAAGGTTGATATTTTGAATATGAAAACATCTCTGAAGAATTAAAAAAAAGAGCAGATTTTAATACTAAGTGGGCAAAATAACGTTTAACTATAGCCTCAAAGTTCTAGGACTTTCTGGGGGTGGTTTTTAATTATTAAATGGAAGCCTAGTAAAAAGTTGAGCTGGTTATGTCACTAAGTTAGCAGTACAAGTACAATGTGTTTGAATTTAATCTTTTTTTAACTTTATCTCAATGTTCTCTGCAACTTACATTTATTCATTGATGTCTGTTTTTTGTTTTTCAACATTTTTGTATTTTATATTTCAGTAATCTCTCAAGTATATATGATGTGATTCATTAGTACATTACTTCAATGGAACTCTTATTATGTTAAGGATTTTTGTAAAACCTGATACAAAATTATATGAATTTCATTAGTTCGGACTTCCATTGTCTGATATTATATAAAATGATTTGAAATCCCTGAAAGAACCATCTGTTTAAAATCTGTTTTTCCGTTAATCAGCTGTCGCCCCCATACCAACGACAACTCTCAGAAGTTCAGAAACTTGAGCTAAGTACTAACGAGGTCTTACCTTTCAACGTGTGATTCCTAACACATACTATAATTCCAAAATAGTAGACACTAAATTCTCAGAAATGAATGACGTTTTGGCGAAAGACAACTCTCAGAAGTTCAGAAACTTGAGCTAAGGACTAACGAGGTCTTACTTTTCAACGTGTGATTCCTAACACATACAAATTAAAAAGAATAGCTGAAAGTAAATTATATTGAACAAAAAAAACCCTGAAATGAAATTACAGTGAAATAAAATACATGTAAAAAATAGAACAAATAAACAAAATAAAGGAGATTCCAAGCCAAGTTGCTTCACGATGTTTTGTTAGTATTCACAATCGTCTTCGGGCGATGACTGGAATTATTCATCTGAGATATAACTATTTATGGGTCATTCGAGTACTTTCACTCATCTCCTCTACGCTAGCTTGGCTGAATACATTATTGGACAACATGTATACGGCTTCTTTGAATTTCCTCCTAAACCATGCTCTGTTATTCCTGATTTGGACCCATTAACATAACATAGAATAGTCCCAAGCTGATATCATACACAGGGAGGAATACTAACTTAGGGGGAAATTCAAAGAAGCTGCATACATGTTGTCTAACAATGTATTCAGTCAAGCTAGCGTAGAAATACGCAACATATGGAAACCCATAATCAAGCGAAAAATTGCCAACTCCCGCTAAACCGGTGAAGCCGAATGAGAAGATAAGTGAAAGTACTCGAATGACCCATAAATAGTCGTCTCTCGGAGGAATAAGCCCAGTCATCACCCGAAGACGATTGTAGATACTAACAATTGAAACGTCGTGAAGTAACTTGGCTTATTTTTTGTTCAATTGTTCTATTTTTACTTGTATTTTATTTTTATTTCATTTCAGGGTTTTTTTGCTAAATATAATTGTTATTTTCAGCTATTGTTTTTAATTTTTCATTTGTATTGGTTCTATTGGGGATTTCAAATCATTTTATATAATATTAGACAATAGAAGTCCGAAGTAATGAAATTCATCATGAAACATTGTCAGTCACCTTCAAACAAACAAATTTATGTTTGCTAATATACACAACAGCAATTCAGTTCAATATTATTCCCTTCAATTTTTATTATAATCTAGAAATAACTTACCAAATAATTCTTTTAAGAAATCCTCCTCCAGTATTTCCAAACTTTCCCGGTACACCCCTAACACACAGGGAGTACAATCACCTGGATCAAATACTGAAATATCCACAAAAAAGGTGTTTTTTGAACCATTCAGTTGGTCAATTCAATATATGAACAAAAGACAAAAGCTAGCAAAAATCTATGCTAACTTATGTTCAAGGCAATTACTACCTAAATATTATAAACAAAGAAAAAAGCGGCAAAAGGATTTATTCAAAATAAAATAATATTAAACAATAAAAAAATAAATAGTAGAAGTTACAAAAATAAGAAAACGAATAAATATGGCAAATAAATAACAGATCTTGTTTCAACCTCTGATCGAGATATCTGTCTACCAACCGTTTCAAAAACGTCATATACAACCATTACTTTGATAATTTTACAGGTCATACCCCCCACAAAAAAAATAACAATTCTAATCAACGATTTTTAAAAATCAAAAATACATAAACTTTAAGTACAACAGTGGGATAAATGAATACCCAACTATTAAGTTTTTGAAACTTGACATCTTTATTGTTAAACAATATTAGAAAAATATCAATGAAAGTTCTGTCAAAGACAATGTCAAATAATGAAGATTTCACCCTAAACAAAATAAACTTTATTCCAAGAGATATAAGAAACTCAAAAGCACCAAATATTGATTAAAACTGAGCGAATTGAAGAAAAACTACTGATTGTACTTCCTACCGTATATATTTTCACATTAAAACCAGTCAACTCAAGTAAAACAAGAAATAAAATGGATCAATATCGTGGCCTTTGAATTTTTTATCGAACAAACAACCCCAAATAAATACAAGGTTTCATTCAACTTGTTAAACAAGATTTAAGTTTTATTCAACAGAGATCAATTCGAGTCAGCCAATAGCAAGTTCTTTTCAGAAAAATCAGTACCCTTGTGCTCAATTATACAAAAAAATAAGGGATTATTACGCTCCCCGAGGTTCAGGTTTTCTAATCATATAAATAATCATATCACATTATTTTAAGCTAACAAACGAGATTATTACGGAAATTACGCAAAATAATTATCAACCAGTGTTATTCTCCTGCGGCCTCAGTTACACCAGGTTTTATTTTGTGGCTGCTGTTACAAAGGGGAGCTTCATTTTTTCACCACTAGATGTGGCTCATATAGTTAAACAGATGGATCTCATTTTACTTATAACTGCCTTGTACGGAAATTTTCAACAGGTTGTCCAATGGATAGACATCAATTTTTGATACAAAATACATTTGTTAAAAAAAAAAGAATAAAACAGTTTTGGTTGAATCATGAATCTTGTGATTCATTTATAAAAATTTATAGGGAAAACGAATCAAGTAATTTTGAAAAAAAAAATTTTGCCATTCATAGATCAACATTCTTATTCAATTTGTTCAAAGTGATATTTTAATGACAAAAGCCATATTTAAGACTGTTATTTTGTTCGTTGAAATAATTCGTATATTCAAAAATACATTCTTGTTCAACAAATATTGTTTACATTTTTTTTAACCACATCAACATCAACTAATTTATATTCATTTCACTTGAAAAGAAATTTCATTAGATTCCTGATTGATTTTTGTTAGAATGGGGAAAAGAAACTGGTATATGAAGAAAAAAAGATTTTCTTTACACTAAACTTATTTTCACCCAAAACGAATTGTCTAAAATCTTTGTACGTATAAATTATTTATTTAGTCTTCCTAACGATGGTTTTAACTCCTTCAAAGTTTGCGTTAGAATATTTTTGAACAATATTTATCAATTTCAGAAACAAATTTTTAAATCACATCTCAAATACATTGCAACATCATACTACTTAATTAATCTATGTAGATACACCATACACATGAATTAATCATCGTGCAAGTCATTAAACACATGTAAACTAAAATGTTTTATCAAAGATTATCTGTCAACTGACGTTTCTGTAAATACAACTTTTTTTGTGGATTTCCTGAACCTTTTCCATTTAAAAATATATTGTTACTGAACAACTTCCAAATCACTTTATTGGTGAACAAGGATTCTGAATAATTTTGAATAATAAAGTCATTGTACATTAATGTATGGAAAATTTTGAATCTTTCTCCAATCTAAGTAAAAGACCGTATCATACCTATATTCCCTCATTATGCACCAAGATACTATTTACAAGCATGAGTCCAATTATTTTGAAAAGCAATATTCCATTTTATTTGTTCGAACCTTATCCTATGAAGGCATTGAAATACTACTGAATATTTCTGACAATCGTCAGTTCAAACTATCAATTAGCTATAATTTGACAATTCAAACTGGTAATTTTCTATGATCGACATTTCAAACTGTCAATTGTCTATGTTCACCATTTTAAACTATCCATCAATTATAATTGACAACAAACCAGTTTCCGTTATTTAAACATTTCATCGACACTTCGAACTGTCAATTGTCATGTTCACCATTTTAAACTATTCATCAATTATAATTGACAACAAACCAGCTTCCTTTATTTAAACTGTTGCATAGGTACAATCAACGGATTACGACTATTTGAGAGTTTGAATTGTCGATTTAAAAAAATACTCTGTAGGGTGGTCAAGGGCTTTCATGACATTCACATTTTAACCAACACGAAACAATAATGTTTGAAAGAAACCTTTTTGGGATATCACGAACGGACTGTTCAGTCAAATTTTGAATCTGAGGCTACTATTGATATTTCCTGAAAATTAATTTTTTACCAGAGATCAAAATTTGAAGAGTGTCTTGTAATTTTTCTACATTTTGAAACAAAGTATACTTACCATAACATTTGTCAAAGATGCAATAGTATTATAAATAGAAATGGAATAGGTGAAAATGTTTCTTTATAATTAAAATTATTATTATTCTCATTATGACACCTTGGGTAAGTTCATGTCGACCAGAAAAACAAATCAATTGGTGCTTCTGAGGGAAAATTATCTCATCTTCAGATCATTACGTGCATTTTTGATTTCTGTTTTTGAAAAACCTATTTTGACTTTTGAATTTCAATATTTCACCGGTATTCTTTGAGATACGTATGAGATAGTACCTAACAAGACTCAATTTCCAGGTTCTAGTAAACCTTATGTCGAGTAAAAACCATAATCCGTTTCAAAAATTTATTCACCAACTTTTCACGCTTCGCCCCGGTTAAAAAAATCAGATCAGCATTCGATTCCCAAAACAGGAGAATAACACAGGTACAAACGTAACAATAAACAGCGTCAGCAGGTGAAACTGAGGCTCAGTACGAGGGGCGGGGGAGGAAACAAAATCAGGCTTCCGTGGAAGCCACGAGGGCGCCTTTGGGGGTGTAGGCCGTCGCGTTCGGGTCGAGGTTAGACGGGGGACTTTCGGCCAGACGAACTCTGGAAATGTTATTGGAGGGCGGGGGGCTGCCAAACGAGTCGTTCGGCATCACAGCAAGGACCTGCGCTATTTTACTCTTCAGCTCTTCGATTTCTTTCTCTTGGTTTCTGTTGGCGTCTGAAATTCACAAACGAGCACATTAGAGAAAGTTTGCAAGTACTCGTAGCCATTAGACCATGATGAAGATCTGAACTTTTTCAAATTTGAACTTTTTCAAATTTGAACATTTCAATAGGTGTCTCTTAAGTTCCTCATCGGCAGCTTGTAATCACTATGGTTACTGTATTATGTTTCAGTGTAGATGTACATTCGCATTCTAATAAAAAAAAAATCACTTATGTATACAATAATGACATAATTAACTGGTTTAGTGAATTGACGTTCAATGAGAATGCTTTTCCTGTCAACTTTTCCGTACGTAAATTTCATTTCGTGTACAAGTTTCCTAAAAGTTTCTTTACCCATTTTTGGGACCAATTCATGATTGCTAAGTGCCTCCAGAACTGTTTGATTTCATGATTTCCCGTGAAATTGAAATGATAACAGTTATGAGTTTTATGGGAGGTATGTTTATGAAAATTCATTGTTACAGAGCCCCGAAGAAAAACTTAATTAAATTCGAAACGTTGGCAAGAAAATAATTGTTTTTTTAGAAAAATGTATCCTGTTATCCAACTAACCCTTCTTGAAAAACAATAACCCACATTGTAATGAAGGCATACTCACAGGTAGAAATATATAAACAAATACTTAAAAAAAGTGGAAGTTTATCTACTTTCTATTTATAATCAACTGTTGAAGAAAAAAAATTACTGGTTATATACTGAAAATATATTTAAGTCTGTGAGATTGAATTGAAGATTTCATTGCATTCGACATTTTCCAGTTGGGAATATACTTTTGAATTTAATGGGGGAATCCCTTGAGGGCCGAATACCTAGTTTCTTTGAGTAAACAAATCAATATTTCGAGAACGGTTTATTTTTGGTTTAGGGTGTATTACATTAACTCACATTAGAATTATGCTAGGTATTCAGAAATGTGAAAATATACAGGATATGAATTTTAATATTTCCCAAAATACAGCTATCCGACGATCATCACGATGTACCCTGATTAGGTTTTATCCGCCAAACACTTGAATTAATGAATTCATCTGCTAAGAGATCAAGTTGATTTGTATTGATAATTCAATGTTAGTAAGTTGTAGGCTATTATCACTGCCTTAGTTTTAGCTATATATTAGGTTTCATCTCATTAGAGTTTATTTATTCTTTCATTTGTTTACAGACTTGCCATTTTACAATAAAAACATAGACAGTATGAGAGAGAAAAAAAGACAATTGAAAAATAATATGGAATACCAAAAATATCGATTGATTATTAGTGATAATAATCAGCAGTTTCTTCATAGTAGGTCAATAAATTTGAGCTGATTTTTGAAAGAATATGTGAATGAATCAGATGAGTCGATAATAATGCTCATTTGCTAGCCTAAGCATTCTATTTATGGATTCATTTGAGCCATAACTAGTACCACGGTAGAGAACCTTAAACAACTCCGACACTCTGGTTCTTCTTGAATTTACATTGAAATCAATCAGTTGTGTTCTAGATGGAAGGTTCATTTCTCTATTCATGACTTAATGAAGAAGTCTTGGGTCAATTTCAACTCGTAGATGAATTCAAAAGTAGCAGAATATCAGAATACTTATAGTTAGTCTTCTGATATCCTAGCTTGAATGCGCATGAGTTCAGAAATGTATTTATAAATACATGGTCCAATATACATGTTATATAAAAAACCACATAACATACATGATGCATAAAAATAAATAAATAAATCTAAACAGTACATTTGAAGACTCAAGTTGAAAGATGAAAACAGGTAGTAAGAATAAAAACAAAAAAATCAATATCGGGCCAATTGTAGTTAATACAGAGATATTCCTCAACTGAATAAAAACATTTATCTAGCAAAAAGTCTTTGACCTGACTATGAATGAGTTGACACCCTCAATGGATATGAGCTGATCTAGTACAGATTTTGTTCAAAAAAATATTAATTTATTCATCAATTTATATTTTGTCCCCTTTAAAGTAGTTCCCCTTCAATCCTCGAAGCGCTTTTTGGTATGTCCTTGAGCTTTCTCAGCGATTCGGTTTTTATCTCCTTGGAAACAGGAAAAAGTCACAGGGAGCCAAACTTGGTGAATATGGTGGCTAAAGCATTACGAGTGAGCAGGTACATTATCATGATGCAAAAACCATGAATTGTTTATCCACAATACCGGACATTTCCTTCCTATTGCTCATAGTAAGAGGTGTATAACTTTAAGATAATACTCCTTACTGACCGTACGACCATGTGGCAAGAACTCCTGATGCACTATGCCACGAAGAAAATAGTGAGCAAAACCTTAACATTTGATCGAACTTGGCGTGCTCTTTTTGGTCTTGGCTCAACTGGTCTCTTCCATTGGGACGATTGGACTATGATTTCAATGTTATACCCATATACCCATGATTCGTCACCAGTTATTACACTTTTAAGCAAGTCTGGATCGCCGTTGACGCCATTCAATAATTTCTGAGCGATGCTCGTGCGGCGGTTTTTTTGGCAAAAAATTAAGCAATTTTGGAAAGAACTTAGCTGTCACACCCTTCATGCCCAAAATTTTCAAAAAAAAAACTGCGTGGTATGAGCCAACCGATAAGCCGACATCCTCAGCAACTTCTCTAATAGTGTTTCGACGATTCTCCATAACAATTTTCTTCACTATCTCAACATTTCCATTGATTGTTAATGAGACGGGGCGTCCAGGGCAAACATTTTGATTCACAGTAAATATTTTTCTGACTGAGAGTACAATCACCGTATGTCACTGTCAACATTTGAAGTGTTTCTGAGCACTTAATTCCATTTTTTACAGAATATTTCATGCAAACTCTTTGAGCATGCTAAATGAAAAACTTACTTTCTCTGAGCTCCAGCTGCCGCTTGGCCTCACCGAGCGCGCTGAAGAGATCCAATTTGACGCGGTTCTCCGCCGACAGCGAGTTTTCTAGATGCGCGTTCTTCTCTTGCATCGCCGACAAAGCGGATATCAGCATATCCATGTCTCGCATTTGCTCGGCCAGGGCTGCGTTATCCCTTTCGAGGGCTTGAAACCGCTCGTCCTGCCAATGGGTGGCGTTTCGGAGATCGGAAATTTCCGATTCGAGTTCTCTTCTTCGGGCCTTGCACGCTTCCGTGCATTCGCCTCTCGTAGATTGCTGCGCTGCAACCTGAATAATATAATTCTTTATTATGAGTGAGTTATTGCAATAACTTCTTCAGATGTATTCAAAACTAACTGGAAACTATCTAAGCTATCATATACTGAAAACAGTTTTGTAAACTGTGAAGTGAAGTGTTATTTAAATACGAAATACTATTAAAGTAAAAAATATTTATCCAATTGTGTAGTTATGTGGATACAAGTAATGTTTTGAAGAAACCAACATGTAGAAAATATATGAAGCTTTAATTTTTATTACAAGTGCTAGCCACTCTTAGTTACCAGATAGGAAAATATAGAACAGAAAAAAATTTCTTCTTTCTAAACTTGGAATTGAATCAAACCAAGCAGATTATGTACTGCATTACAGAAATTATATGATATTAAAGCTTGTCACGAGATTTACTTATTCTATAACCTAGTCTTTCATTAAGCGCTTCCATCTTTAAATTTGAATAAAACAAAGTGTATGTGTGGGATATCATCAAAAAATGTTATTCGTTTGAAAGACCTATTCAATCAATCAATCAAACATTTACTGAATCAGTTTTCCTTCACGATCACATTAGAAAAAAAAACATAACATCATCATAAAATACTGGCTGATTCAACAGGTAAAACAAACATAAAGAAGTCAATATAAAACATAACAAATACATAAAAAAAGTTGATGAGCTGCATTCAAATTAGGATTCAAGGATAAACTCATCCATAGAGTAGTATGTTTTTTGCAATAGGAGAATCTTGGCAAGCAATTGTTTTTCCTTTTTATTTTCGAATGATCTTTGAAATTTCTCGATTCTCCTGAAAATTTAAAAATACAGAGATAATTAATCAAACTAAGGGCGTTTCCTCAAAGTCTAATGTTACTAATAAGTACCAT